TCTTCTTTACAGCAACGTAGCTTAATGAAGACTTCTTACAGAGACAGACCACAGACAAAACCTTGAGACTGGAAATCCAGCTCCTAACTTAATACTCTTTTGCACAGACTCAGTAGCACTTTCTTCACATTGGCTCCACATGACTCTTCCTGTTCATGAACATTCCAACAATGCTTACCTCTGGCATATAGGTTATAACAAAAATGTCTGTTGGTAGATTGGGAATTAATATTGGACTATGTGAAAGAGTTAACTTACTAATAAAAACACATCTGAAAGTGGCCTTGAAAAGTACAAATAGAATTGTTCTTGTAGCCCTTTGGGGTATGCTGTGCTGTTAATTACAACTGAAGCCATAACCTCTGATGACTAATACTTGACTCAGCCATCATTTTTTTTAAAAAAAATGATTCTGTTTATAAAAATAAGATCCACCGAAGGACACTGGCTTTAAAAGAAAATAAAGTTTATAGGCTAAAGTTGTATCGGTTTTATCTGCCACATTAGATGTTCATCAGTAATTTTAATGTTGATTCAGTCATGATTGTAATAAGGAAGAACTGCTTCCAGTAATTAGGATCATTTTCATATATTATTAAACTCAACAATGGAGATTTCAGCGCTCCATGATTACATTCAGATGTAATATCAAATTCTGTCTTCTTTTACCCCATATTGTTTTGTCTCTTTTTAAAACATGTATTGATTTTTCAGTTTTACATTTACATATTTGAAAAGCAGCATCAGGTGTCACTGCATCAGGGGACCCTCAGTCATCCAGATCCCCAATGGTTGCAACTGACCGCCTGGCGCTTGAACGCAGCATAATGACACAAGAATCATTTTCCTTGTGAGCCATCTCCATGATTCAGGCTGCGTGCCGTCCTGCGACCAATTGCATCTATGATTCCACTTGGAAGAATTTTTGCCTTTGGTGTAGGAGGCGACAACTTGTCATATCCAAATTGACCATTCCCCAAATAGTGGATTACCTGTTGGACGGACTGGGCAGAGGCCTTGCCCCTGTGACTATTCGCAGACAAGTAGCGGCCCTGTCCACTCTTCTCTCGTGTCAGGATTCAGTTCCCTTGGCTCACCATCCCAGGATTCGTGCATTTATCAAAGGGGCGTGCAACACGAGACCTCCTGTTGTTCACAGGTACCCAACTTGGGAGTTACCGAGAGTCCTCCGTGCTCTCACAAAACCACCATTTGAGCCTCTAGGAACCATTTCGTTGAAACACCTGTCCCTAAAAGTGGCATTCCTGATAGCCATCACATCAGCCAGACGAATATCGGAACTGGCTGCATTATCGGTCAGGAATGACCTCTGCATTTTTCACAGTGACAGGGTTGTCCTACGTATAGATCCTTCGTTCGTCCCAAAGATAAATTCCCTGTTCCACAGATCACAGGAAGTAATTCTACCAAATTTTTGCCCAAATCCGACGCATGACTTGGAGCTGCAGTAGCATACACTGGATGTCCGCAGGGCTTTGAGACGTTACCTCAAGCGCACGGAGGCATTCCGTAGATCAGAAGCCTCTTTGTTTCATTCCGATCGGCTTCCATGGGACAGAAGGTTTCTGCGGGCACCATTGGCAGGTGGATCCGAAATTGTATAGCGGAAGCGTACCAGTCTGCTTCCCTGCCGACTCCAAGTCATCTTACTGCCCATTCCACTTGCAATGCTGCAACTTCTGCAGCTTGGGACACTCAGGCATCCATTGAGGAGATTTGCAGGGCTGCAACATGGTCCTCGCCATCTCCATTTGTACGCCACTACAAAATTGACCGTTTTGCTTCGGCAGATGCCTCCTTTGGTAGGAAGGTCCTCCAGCAAGTGGTCTCTGGGGAATCTATTCCGGCCTTATCTGTTTCCCACCCATTGGGACAGTGAGGCTTTGGTATGTCCCATAGGTGGATTCTCCATCTCCTGTACTGGAGAAGGGGCGTTGTCTTACCTGAACGCTTTTTCTCAGTACGGAGATGGAGAATCCACACCCACCCTAGGATCAGTTAGGCCGTTCTAGGGAATTGAGAGCCAACCTCAAGTTCATCTTCAGCTGCTTCACCCTCGTTAAGACTGGATCTCCTGGCAAGAGGGGCGTGGCTAATTTGGCTACTTGATCTCAAGAGCAGGCAGACAGAGAAAACCCATAGGTGGATTCTCCATCTCCGTACTGAGAAAAGGCGTTCAGGTAAGACAACGCCCCTTCTGTCTTCTTTTACCCCATATTGTTTTGTCTCTTTTTAAAACATGTATTGATTTTTCAGTTTTACATTTACATATTTGAAAAGCAGCATGGCGGCTGGGTTGTTTCATAATTCAATAGCATACAAATTTCTTCAGTACAAATCACAAACTATTACATTAAATATTTCCTCTCTTTTTCCCTTGATATTTCTGTCTCACATTTGAATTAATACAATTCTTATTATATCAATTTAATACAAATAACTTTCTTACATTTATCAATAATTTTTAATTTATACATATCTTCAGGGCTTTTTTTCTTATAGAATGCCCAGAACGGAGTTGCGGCACCTTTTTTGGATGGAACCTTGTAGGGTAGGCAAGGTGGGTTGTATGACATGTGTGAGTTCCGGCATCTTTTTTTTTTTTTTTTTAGAAAAAAAGCACTGCATATCTTAGTTATTTTAACATTCTATCTTTTTAGACAATCAATCTCCTGGTAAGTTTTTCCCAATGTTTAGCTTCCCATAAATATTTAAATTTAATGTTTAATAACTTTTCAAATTTTAAATAATCCCAATTCCCTTTATCACAATTCACTGGTCTTACATCAGTTCGTTAATAATACAATATTATTTTCTGGTAATTTCCAAATATCTTAAATTTAATAACCAAAATTTCTCTTATTTCAACATTTAATACTTCCTCTTTTTTCTCTCAATATCTACTATCTTATATTTAAGCTAATAATTTTTATTATTACCACTAAGTAAAAACATATTTGTTAATTCATCAATACATTTCTAGTTTGTATATATCTTAATTGCCTTTATATTCAGTATTCAATATTCAAATTTAACTATTAATGTTTATATTTCCAAGTCCTTTAACTCAACTCATAACGATTTCTAATATTCAAGGTACACATCTTATCTATTTTGAGAATATTCTGTTTTAATTCTCATTAGTAAGTCAAAACCCCCATTTTCTTCAGTCTTGATTTAAAATAAGCTTACTTGCTTATTTATTTATTTGACATATTTTAATGATTTATGTCTATCCTTGGCAGTCTTATTAACCTGAAAATACAGGTTCTTCCAAAGTTGTAATTGTGAATAAAGAAATGGGGAGGGGGACAAACCTTAGTGGTAAGATGAGCTATAGAAGAAATATGATTCCAGATGCTTTGGAAACTTTGTTTTTTTGAAATTTGATGCCTGGAGGTTTAAATTAGGATAACTCTGAAATAAAATAGGAATATAGTTATTGATAGAAAGCTGGATAAAACATTTTTATCTTTCCTCTTAAGAGGTATGCTAATATTGACCTGGTAATTTAAAACTGTATATAACTGAGACCAATGTATGACTTAGTCACAGACAGTTAGCTTGTGGTATATGAACTAAGAACATAAATATCTTTCTTTTGCATCTCATCTGCAGCATTTAACAGCAATATGTGATGACTATATTTATTTTACTATATATTCTTCATATTTATCTTTAGAATATATTTTTTCATTTGTTTAGGGTTTTTTGGTAAAATACTTCCAGAATATTAACTGTCTCTTTTTCGAGTTGAGGTGACTTAAAACTCATATCAGCTAAATAATGTATCTGTTCATTTCTTTAATAGCAATTTGTGAAATAGCCAATTACATTACTTTCAATATATGAGATTATAGGTGAAAATAAAGCAAATCATGGTTGATTCAGTTGAAGTTGCAGAATGCTTTGATCTTTCTCAAATTAGTGCAGATACTATTTAACTGCTTTTTTTAAAAAGGGTGGATCAAAGGCATTTATACGTGTGTCTGTTTTAAACAAGGAATCTAATGTTAGAAAAAAGTACGGTAGTACTGAATGTTTAGTAATTTCTTGGTAGATGTCGAATAGTACATCATGTAAAGATGAAAATGGTTCATAGCATATATATTTTGTTACTGGGAGTCAGTTTGGCTAGACCAGGGTTGTCAAACTGCTTGCCCGCGCCCACTCCATTGCCGGCAATGGGAAAAAAGTCACGATACGTGACACGCCACGTGACATCGCAAGTTTGACACCAGTGGTCTAGTGGTTAAGGCACCAGGTTAGAAAGCGGGAGACTGTGAGTTCAAGTCTTGCCTTAGCCATGAAAGCCAGTTGGGTGACTTTGGGCCAGTAATATTGTCTCAGCCCAATCCACCTCACAGGATTGTTGTTGTGGGGAAAATAAGAGGAGGAAGGCATCTTAGATACGCTTGCCACAAAAAAATAATAAAGGCGATATATACTTACGCATATGTATATGCATATACATATACACATATACATCTCACTGACAGTTGTGTCTATTTTTTCCAAACTTATTGAGAACATGCTGCAAATGGCTATTTGTTGGTAACACTGAATGTTCATACTCATATCAATGTTGTTTTTGTGGAGAAAATAAATATGCTATGATTACTGTAACTATTAAGCTTACAACCCGTTCTGTGAATGACACTTGTTTTACATTTACAATAGTTGTATTTCAAAAAAAAAATAAAGATTTTAACAATTCATTTGCAAAGTACTGTGATGTGTCATTTGGGAAATCATCAGAACAGAGTAATCAATATCATCTGAGGAGGAATTCTGTTGTTGAAAAAAGTAGTAATTATTATGAAGAATAGAAATGGCCATTTATTTTACTGAAGATTAAATAATTTTCATAGATCTGATAGATGGAACCTAAGAGACCTGCTTTTGTTTGACGTTGTAACTCATGCAAACTCATGAATACATAGTATACCATCACTCTCTCTTTTCCTTTCTCCTTCAAGATTTGGTTTGGATGCCTTTTACATTAATTTGACCCACCCATGTAAAGAATAAACTCTGGGAGAAATGCTGAAAAGCACTTGGCTTCCTCTTTCCATGGAAAACTGAACGGAATGTGTTAATCTGTAAAAGGAGACCCTTAGAATTTAGCTGCAGTGATGAGTTCTGAAGAGAAAGGTATATCTCCTGCTCATAGAACCTCCACACCATCACATAAAGCTGACTCCTCTTCATCATATTCCCAGTGGGATACTAGGCAGGTAAGTGACAGAATATTCTTTTAATTATGGATGTAGAAATCCTGCAAATTAGTTGGGAGGTTCTTTATTTATTTCACCTGTTAAAGAAAAAACTGAACATGTTCAGTTCTATTGTTAGTTTATGTTTTCTTTTCCCATTCCACCTCTAACAATATTGAGTTATTTTCAACCCTCCTTCAGATGCTCTACTGCCATTCTCTGATTCCTTATGATCAAACAGTACTGACAGGGTCAATCCTTTGCTTTTTCCTTTTTGGAATACTGATGGTAATGGCTAACAGTGTATCAAAGTGAAATATTGGTCCTATAAAGCCTGCCATTTTACTTCCTAAGAATGCCTCTATATCCACAAGGGACCCATTGCTGTTCTGAGGAAATTTTCCTGTCAGAGCTGCCTTGAGAGCTGTTAACATGTCTATAAGGAAGAGATCATAAATGGTTATATCATACTTTGTAGAATATATCTTTGTGACTTGAGCCAACTTACAGAAGTAATTTGGAATTGGGCATTAATTATTAATTCCAAATCTAAACATGATTTAGCTGAAAGATAACTATTTTTATATGGAATATTGCTGTTTAAAATAATTATAAAAATGTGATCTAAGGCAGTGGTTCTTAACCTTTTTGAATGAATCGCCCCCTTGAGCCACTGAGGAAGTTGTCATCGCCCCCCTCCCCCAACATCACCTCTCAATCACAACATAGGAAATAATTCTTCAATTTATGCAAACACTTTTTTGTTTTCTTTAAAATTGTCATCAGGACATATCGATGCAAATAATTTATTTCCAGTCTTTTTCCCATATCTCAACTGTTTGAAAAATTTTGGTGCCACCCACCACTTTATTCCCAAACTTCGTGATACATGTATTTCATTATTATCTTATTTATTCAAGACACTTAAATGTAATGACCACTGAAAACAAAATTCAATTGCAAGAAATTGAAATGCCTGAAAAGAAAAAGAGTAACATTTAATGATTGAATTACAAGTAAAATTTAAGATGCAAAAAGAAATATAAAAAGGGTAGAGGCTGCTGCGCAATGCGCATGAAGATAAGTAATGTGTATTCACATATGTACGGCGTTCTTTACTGAAGCTAGCTGGAGGAACATTTGAAAACACAATTCAATCCACTAATAGCGAGTGATCTGATGTTTTTGTATGACAGATATGCAGCTGTTCACTGTACGAAAAAGTCTCAAAAGTGTCCCCAAAACTTCTCGCTCCATCACCCCCATATCGCCCCCTTTTTGTTCCTTCGCTCCCATATCGCCCCTTTTTGTTCCATCGCCCCCCTGAAAAATGAAATCGCCCCCTGGGGGGCAATATCGCCCAGGTTAAGAACCACTGATCTAAGGCATGACTAATTCCTAGTCTTGGATTCTGACATTACCCATACCAAAATAAAACACTTTTCTTTTTTTACATAAGGACTCAGCAGTGGCAATCACAAATGAGATTCATGATTCACAAACAAGCAGTTGCAAATTGTTTTATTAACCCCTCAAGTAATTTTATGCCAAAATTACTCTCTAGTAATTATTTCCAGTTTAAGAAAGATGCAGAATTGATAATATTGTACTCCAGTAATCATTTGTCATTTGTTAATTAATCTTTTAATTTCACAAACCTTAATTTGATCATTTTAAATTCTGTCATTAGAAAAATTTCTGTCTCCCACAAAACATTAGTCACACTTGCTATTAAGTTGTTTTCATGATGCATCTATTTTGCTATTGATGTTGCCTCTCTATTACCCTTACTAAATGGCTGAGGGTGGTTAGAATAAAATGTAAATCACTTAACTAAATAAAATAAAATAAAATAAAAGCATCAAAACATTTGAGACAATTAAACGATATTAAAAACCAGTCAGAAAAGATGGATCTTTAAAGCTGGACTTAAGCGGTTAAAGCTTTAAAGTATTGATAATAGTACTTATTCCCCTCAAAAATACAAGTAACAAGTTCAGTCGCTTAGAAAAAGATATAAAATTCTCTGTTATTAGCCCCAGACTCCTTTCTAGATGCTGCATTTCCTGTGCAATTCCTAAACTATGCATAAAGTAGAGCATATTGCTGTAATCTGATTTGAAAGTTACGAACTGGTACAATGTTTTGATGTCATTTGCTGTCATTATACCATACAGTTAGTGAAAGTGTTCATCTTACATCACCCAGGCAAGATCAGCAAGTTCAAGACTATTTTTAAACTTTACACTTGTTGTTTTTGAGGCAATGTAACTCCATCGAAACAAAAGAAACGTAAGATTCTCCAGATCATAGTATATCATATCAAAATAAACACCTCAGTTTGCTTGGATTGTTTTCATTTTATAATCTCTTGTCAGGCTCATTACTATTTAAAACAGACAGACAGACAGATAGACAGATAAGATAGATGGCGCACCATTATCTTAAAGCAAGGGTCTGAAAAAAATAGATTTATATATCATAGCATATTGACAAATATTCCTGGATCAAAAATATAAACAAGCCAGTTGGGCTGTGCCCAGTGGTGCCATTCAACAGGCAGAAGCTGATAAACCAGTGTAATTCTAGAATCGTACAAGTGGAAGAGCTCAAATAATCCACTGAGCCCAACTTATTCTTGATGCAAAAATCCAAATTAAAGTGTCCCCAGTAGAATTGTTGTCAACCTTCCCCTAGATAACTACCAACTTTCTGTAAATTTCTTTTGACAAATTGTGTATTTGTGTAATTGTTTCCTCAAGAAATTTTAACTGAGCATGATTTTCGTATGCAAATATCAAGCATCTAAAGACAATTCTTTTAATATTCTGCTCTTTTAAAATCTCAATTTTCTGTAAATTATGCTTTGATAAGGAACAGGTGAGTCACCTTAAAAGAAAACACTTTCAAAAGAACATTGCAAGACAGATATTCAAATCTTTGTACTTTCAAACACATATATCAAGAATACATTTATTCTGCTTTATAGTACTGTGCTTGACAGATTTAATTCAGTTCAGCTCAAGGCAGGATCAAACTCATGTTTATCTTCCAAGCATAGAGAGAGAGAGAGTTTGACTTATTTTGATCTAATTAATTTTCACATTGTTATGGTGTATAAGTGAATGCACTCAGATATTTCATCAAGTTTTTTCTTAAAGTATCCATCTGTGAAGTCTAATGAACTTGCTCTGCTATGGGTAGCATCTACCATCATAATTAGTATTACTACATTTGGGAGCAAAAATCCAGATAACTACTAGATGTGGGAAAGAATCAGATTTTTCTTTACATCTTGGCTGCCCTGTTATTGGTGGTCTGAATTTCTGCAACCCAATTATAATATTCCTATACATGAATCCATTCTTGTCTCACATATGTTCACTTTATATAAGAAGAATGTGTACACAATCTCCTGTTGAACTTTAGACAAGACAGCTGTGGATGTAAGCCATTTTATAATAACAACCTAATTTTGGAAATTTTAGGGGGAAAGTTAATTATACAGTAATACCTTAAGTTGGCAGAAAAAGCCTGTTGAATATTAAGATGCTGACTGAAATAACATTCAGTACTAAAATTTGAAAATACTGTTTTGCTTATTAGAATAAATATATATGTTGCCTTTCCATTTGAATCAGCTTGGGTAACAATATCTCATAAGATATTTCTGTGCTTTAATATTAAAATATTAAAAATATTAAATTATAAAGGTTGGTAATGATATGATATCTGTTTTGTGTGAACACAGTGTATTTCCATTCCCTCAAAACATCTTAGTATGAGAACTATTTTCTGTGACAAAAATTTACTCCATTCTTTTCTTTGTGCTTTAGAGTGGTCATGTGTTAGAGCGAAATGCTTCTGCTGGAAGCACAGACTTGATTATTGGGAAACAATTGTTAGAAAATGAGCCAATCGTTGTATCTAAAGTAAGTAAAGTCTTAGTCCCTGCAAAAGAAAGTGGTTGCAGAACGTATTTAATAATTGGATGTGTTCAATAAGGCTATGCAAATCATTTGTTTGCAGCAACATTATAAGCCAACTGCCACTCCTCAAAGCACTGAAGTGGTTGCATTAAAGCAGGGGTCTTCAAACTTGGCCCTTTTATGACTTGTGGACTTCCAGCTCCCAGAATTCCTCAGCCAGGCACTCTTACATTTAATCAACTATTTTTTGAAAAAAATTTCCATTAATTAAAGGACTTTTATTTGAAATGGACCTTGCATGTGCCTTCTCTGGTCAATTTTAATTATACCAATTCACTAAGGAATCTAATACAGGTGGTCCTCGACTTTCAACAGTTCATTTAGTGACCGTTCGAAGTTACAATAGCTCTGAAAAAAGTGATTTATGACTATTTTTCACACTTAACGATGGTTGCAGCATCCCCATGGTCATGTAATCAAAATTTGGCCTCTTGGCAACTGGGTCATATTTATGACGATTGCAGTGTCCTGGGGTCATGTGATCTCCTTTTGCAACCTGACAAGCAAAGTCAATAGAGAAGCCAGATTCACTTAACAACAGTGTTACTAATGTAACAGTTATAGTGATTCACTTTGTAACGGTTGCTAGAAAAGTCGTAAAATAGGGCAAAACTCACCTAACTGCCTTGCTTAACAAAAAAAAAAAAAATTTGGGCCCAATACTAATTTATCAACTGCAGTAATTTGCGTAGCAAATGTGACAAGAAAGGTTGTAAAATGGGGCAAAACTCACTTAACAAATGTCTCACTTAGCAACAGAAATTTAGGGCTCAATTGTGGTTGTAAGTTGAGGACTACCTGTATGGGATTTTGAGAATAATTTTGTATATAGATACTGCAAGGTACATCGTGAATTTTTTTTCAACATAACACAGTCCTTTAATGTATCCCTATATTACATCAGTAATGCATGGAAGTGCTGTTTACAAGTCTCTGTTCTATTATAAAAAAACTTAAGGGACCAAGCATGATGAGTAGCATGATTTTGATTGTTATTGCTATGCAGAATGCTGCAAATCAGCCCTCGTCATTTGTTTCCAGTAAAAGAACATGTTTACAATTTGAAACATTCCTTCTAGAATTATTGTGCCTTGATGTACCTAGTTATTATGCTAGGGCTAGGTGCTTCATTTGCAAATGGATGACATCTTTGCTTGCTACAACTTCAGATTTGTATATACAAACCAGATTTCTTCCAAACATTTTTTGGGAAAAGAACCCAAATAGAACTAAGGAGATTTTAGCCATGATTAATTATGAATGGAATAGGATACCCCAAAAACTGGTACCTCCTGGGACCTTCCCAGTTATATAGTTTAACCTTATACTTCCCTTAGTAATTTCCATAGCATAGAGTTCTGGAACATTTATATTCTCAGTGTGGTTTATGTACTATCCAGTTTCCTTTTTATTTGCTAACTAAAGGCAGTCTTATTGAATTCAGTGGAATGGATTTTATGTAACTGTGCACAGAGTTGCCAAAACAACTTGAACAATAGGCGCCACAAAAGTGAAATTTTGATCTGTTTGCTTCTGTTCCCTCCCTTTCTTCCCCCTTTACTCAGGAGCCAGACAACTGGGAAATTATAGAAGGCTTGAAAATTGGCCAGACTAATGTCCAGAAGCCAGACAAACATGAAGGATTCATGCTGAAGAAAAGGAAATGGCCTTTAAAAGGCTGGCACAAGGTAAAACATGTGGAAAGCATGTTAGGTGCCATTATTTTCAATTATCACACAAAATTCATCAATTCTGTAGCAAATTGAACTCTCTTCAGAAACTGACGAGCAGTTATTGAACCATGCCTACCTCTTTAGTCCCTGACCTTGAATTGAGTGGCAGAATCTGAAGGAGGCTTTCACCTCTTTCTTTGTTTTGCACTCGTGTAATATATTGAATTCTGTCAACATTCAAGTGAACGTGATTAAACCTTCCTGCAGGGCTAGAAACAAGCAGTTAGCATGTGATCATATACCCTTTAAAGAGGTTTAACTGCCTCAACGTATATATGTATTATTCAGTTATAGACATACTGTACACAAAGAGAGAAAAAACGGGAGATAAAATAGACTGCAATATAAATTGTATTCTCTGTATGAAGGCATATGCGAGTCACAGTAAAGTATATTGTATGGAATAGAAAATACCAAATGCAATGGCTAAACAGACTTATTTGATTAAAGAAAAAAACTGTATCTACATTTAGCGGTGACTGGAAACCCTTTGTGGACTTATGATTTGTAGTTTTGATGATTAGAAAGGATAGACTATAGAAAGAAGAGAGTAATGAAGTAATCTTAGAGAGAGAGGTTAAATTATAATTGTATTTATACCTGCTGAGAAGACGATTGAAAGTCACTTCTTTATATCTTTCTTAATATCTTCTTTTTCCCACTTTCCTTTTTTCCTTTACCCTCCTCTTATCTTTTTTGGTATTTTTACTTTTTTTAAAATCTCTTTTTTTCTTTATTTATTTTAGTTTGTATTAGTTCTTACTATTCTTCTTAAAACTCAATAATGTCTGTCTGTCATATCAAATGTTGGTTTGATTATTGTGAAAGTAATTGTTCAGACGCCATCACAATCAGTTATTGAACGAAGTGATGATGCAGGGATCCCTGAGTACGATGTATGAAACTGGGTAAATTTTTGATGTTTAAGAAAGTTAAGAATTTTTCTGAGATTGGAGAAGCATTTGACAGGAACGCTTCTTTTAAAAAGTGTTATCAGTTTGACTTTGTGTCTTTTAATTCTTATCCCGAATACAAAGACTTGCCGGAAATCAGGTTCTCTTCATTTAAAGGGTTCTGCCAAGTAAACATGCTTAACATCCTAGCCTTCAGAAACCTAATTCTAGGCAAGCTTTCAGATGCAGTAATTCAGTAGGGTTAATTGACATTGCCCCATGAATGCCTTGATTCCATTCTGTCAAATAAAGCAGACTCACTCTCAGAAATTCAGACAGGCCCCTCATCGGTATAAGCCACAGAATCTTGCTGCTTTTGTCAGAATGATGAAAGCACTATTGCATCCGAAGCTCTTCTTTTTTGAGACATCCTTGTTACATCACCGTGCACATAGACAGGGGCAGGGTTTGCATCAAATGCTGCAGTGCTGCTTGTGTCAGTCTGATTCTGTCATGGTCTGTTGGGATGACCTTGGGAAGCAGGAGAAAGAGCTGCAGACTGGATAATTGTCATGCCAAAGTATCTCAGTCCATAGGAGGAAAAGGAGTGTAGGAAGGCATCTCAGGAAGACACCCGCCCTAGTTTTCTAGAAAGAAAAAATAAAATGATATGAGAGGTGCTTTCAGGCTTGCAAGATTTTATTTCTATAACCTTACAGTAAAGATACTGTTAGCATTGGTTTGTGCTTCTTGCCTAGACTAGTTTGAAGGGCTTATAGATCCTTCTTTTCTCTGCTCTGGGGACATCAGTGCTCCTTATTCAGTAAGACTACATAGGTTCTGTTTTTAACCTATTCCGAAAATACTTTGTTCCAGTATGATCCTGTGAGCTATTTATAAAAACAAATGATGGGTTGTATTACCATATACCATAGCTCAGTTCACAAAGCAACTTTAATGATTTAGCTTTAGGATTGATTGATTGATTATGTTCCATCAAGTTGGTGTGGGGCAACCACATAGCTAGGAAAATCTACCCCTAGCTTGGTCCTTCATTTATTGTAATGATGTTTATTGCTGCATGCAATGTGTTTACGTCTCCATTAATAGTTTTATATATTCTCCACTGCATTGTGATCTACATTTTTTTTTCTGCAGCGCTTTTTTGTTCTGGACAATGGAATGTTGAAATATTCAAAGTCACCAATTGATGTAAGTAACTCTAGGGCCTTTAAAAGAAAAATGAATGTTACATATTATTTGGATGCGTAGTTCCAGTAACGATGCAGATATTCCTGTACTGCAGAGAAAAGGTACAAATCCTCCCATTCAATTCAATTTCCCCCCCCTCCTCCTTTTTTCTCAAACATTCTGGATTTTTCAGTTTTATAATTTGCCAGATTTTATTTGTGGCAATTAGATAATTTTTAAACTGCTGGGTTGTTAGTGTCTCTGAGCTTGATTGTTTTCTAGCAGTTATTTCATCACCTTGAGATGAAATCTTATTCCTGTGATTTCTCCCTACATCAGGGAAGAAAACACACTCCAACTAAGATTGACAGGGTAAACTCCTGTTTATAATGAGCCAGCAAACTCCACCCTCTGGCTTTTAAATTATTAAGATTTAAAACCAAAAGCACATCAGCTTCTTGCCTTAATACTACTACTTTGAAACTTTACTTTGGTCAGATCAGTGTTCTGCCTTTTGCAATATTATTTGATAGATAACATCAATGTACCTATTATGCAGCACCTGAGTCCTTATAAGTCAAGTGCCTTGGAAACTCTGTATGTGCCATTTGCTGCTCAGTGAACTACAAAATACAGCAAACCCTCAATTTTACAGCATAATAGAGGGGAAGGGATGATTGTTAGATCTGAATAAGCATTAAATCGCAAAGGGAATACATAAAACAGTAAATGAATTTTCTCCATTACTTTCATGAACCAATTTTTAATGAAGATTGGTAAATCAAGGGTTTACTGTAACAATAAGTAGTTAGAGATTTTAAATTGTAACTTTGTTTTACTTTAATTATAAAGTGGTTGTAGTCCATAATAAAACATTTATTTTTACTATAATAATACAAGTCAATTCCATAAACATTGGAAAAATCTAGCCAAGTTTAGAAAAATATTAGGAATAATAAATATTTATTGCTGAAACTACATAATATAGCAACTTAAAAGATCCCTGTTAATAAACAGCAGTATAAAGCAAACAAGGCCTGTAGCATTGTAGATTTAAAGATGAATTTAATTTAGTTTTTGTTGCATCTTTAGAACTCCGTAATTGTTTTAGATTATATATATATGTTAGAACTAAGTACATTGTGTTACTTATTTTATAAAATAAGAGCTTCAGTACAAAATGGTCTTAAAACACAAAAGCAATCTTAGTTATAATTAATCTTTCTTTTGTGTATAATTGTATCGAGGGGAAATTGGTTCAGAACATGTTGATATTTTATTCAGAGGCAGACTTAACTATTTAGGTAACATTATTTTCAGTTATTTCTGAAATAGGTGTATAATAGATGACAAATAAGAGCTGATATGCTTATTTATGTAGTTTGTGCCTTTGGGCCTATTTTGAAATTTATACAGGTATAAGTTTTCATGAGGGCACAAACTTTTGTTATTTATCAGTATAAATTGATCTTTAGTATTTGCTTATGAATGATGCATCTTACCAGAGTTAAATTAGCCATTTTTTATCATCATAGCTTTCATTACTACGTAGGTGAGCCACTGTTAATCTGAATTTATTTCTTTAGCAATAAAAGTAGCTGTCAGAGAAATGTCACTTAAATTAGATATGTAGCCTGTACGTATATGTAGATTATCTGAATCATAGCCTCAGGTTTGTTTTTCATTCTCATATTTAAACATCTGTCATTTGCTTAGTTTTGTTCTTAAAATAGTTTTATACAAAATTATTCCACATCTTTTATTTACTCAGCCTACGAAATGTTCATATGTATGTGTGAAAAAAAGCAGTGCACTTCTTACATATCAACCCTGTCCTGGATAAGCAGCACATGATGTCTTCCCAACTTTTTCCTATTTTTGCTATTTTATGTACCTTTGCATTATATCCCAGAAAGCTACACATCTGTCTGTTCATTCTAAAAAAAGCAACAAGTTACCAGTTTTGCCTTTTATTTCCTACTGTGCATATCTTTACTTTTTTTTTTCAGACTCAGAAAGGAAAGGTTCATGGGAGCATAGATGTGGGATTATCGGTTATGTCAATTAAAAAGAAAGCACGTAGAATAGATCTTGACACCGAGGAGCATATCTACCATTTAAAAGTAAGGAGTATTTCTACTGATTTTTATTTTCAAGTTATGCTGAAAAAGGGAAATCAAGTACTATTACTGGATTCCTCACTCACACTGATCTTTTAATTAGGTAAAGTCGCAGGATACATTTGATGCTTGGGTGTCAAAGTTGCGCCATCATAGATTATATCGTCAGAACGAGATTGTGCGATCGCCACAGGATGCCAATTTCCACATATTCCCTTCAACTTCCACCACTGAATCTTCACCAGCTGCTAATGCCACAATGCTGGAAACTAAGGTACAACCTTTTTTTGGTTAGGAAGAATACCATCCTTCAGTTCATACAGAGTTGTTTTATAATATACAACATTGCTAGCCACTCATTTTCCAACCATTATGGACGCAAATGAAAATGGATGCCGTTATATGTGACACCGAAAAGAAGAACATACCCAACACTGTACAGAGAGTCCTCAACTTACGACAGTTCACTTAGTGATCGTTTCTCATGGTCGCGTGATTTACATTCGGATGCTTGACAACTGACTCACATTTATGATGGTTGCAGTGTCCCGGGGTCATGTGATCACCTTTTGGACCCTTCTGACATGCAAAGTCAATGGGGAAACCAGATGCACTTAACAACCTTGTTACTAATTTAACAACTGCAGTGACTCACTTAACAAATGTGGCAAGAGAAGTCGTCAAATGGGGCAAAACTCACTTAACAAATTCCTCACTTAGCAACATAAATTTTGGGCTGAATTGTGTTCATACGTTGACAACTACCTGTACTGCATTTACTGAAATATTTGTTATTTAATTTAGACTAGAGTATCAGATACATACATGCCTCAGTTTTTAAAGAAGAGAATAACGATTGCTACTTTATTTTTTAATCACAGGCAGTTTTTCTCCCAGAATTCTCATGGGTATATGCATATATTTGGGTATATCTTTCTTTAGGTTTCACAGAATAGTTTTCCCTGGCAACCGTCTATCCCCTGCAGTAATAGTCTACCTGCAACGTGTACTACTGGGCAAAGTAAAGTAGTTGCTTGGTTGCAAGAATCAGAGGAGATGGACAAGTGTGCAGAAGGTGAGCACCTCCTTCCTTTAGTCATCAGTCACTGCTACTGATACAGCAGAACATAGCTTGAAGCTACAATGAAAATGTACTTATTATATGTTATAGAGCAAAAAAATATATAGGAATTCTCCCTTGGTTGTACTTAAAATGAAGCCTCCTCTTTTTAATTATATGCAATTTTTCCAAGAACCATCAACATTTAGATTTTCAGGACTAATCAAAAGTCTTTCCTAATGTTAGTATATTTTATAGTTAAAACTACTCAATTTCCATTTAACAAATATTTCCTGTGTAGTACACATCTATGTAATACAGAGCTGAAAATTCTGTAGCTTCTCTATATTATAGGTAATAATACGAACAACGTATTTTATACTTTCTACTTCACTGTATCTTTTTTAATTTTTAAAATAGTTATCATTTCACTCAGGAATAATTGTAGGGATTAAAGATAATCCAAAATGAATTTTAGGATGTTCCCATTATTTGCCTTGAAATATAGTTTAGGAAGGTTGAAGAATCAAAGAAAAAAAAACCTCCCCAAAACTCTGAGTGTTTCCAAGCAAAGGTTTTTTTCCCCATGGGTCACCCCACAAGCATATAAATTGTTCCATTCTGCATATGGAATGATTTGCTATCATGATATCCACCATTATCTAAAGTTATTCTCAGGAGGTTTGGGGACATGCAGGAAGAAATTTAACAGTTGTATGGAATAGATGAAGGGAGCCCAAATTCGGTTAGCATGATGTGGCCCAAAATTTATGTATTTTTACTGTGTGATCACCTTGTTTCCTTTATGGAATGTTATGGGTAATGGGGAGTGGGCTCAGATGTCATTTCAGTAAATTCTCTTGTGTTCCTCTAGCAAATAAAATCTTAATCAGAATACGTTTTTGTTGTTCTAAATGTGTTGTTTTTTTGTCAGATCTTGCACATTGTCAATCAAATCTTGTAAAACTCAGTAAAATTCTTCAGAACTTAGAAATACTTCAGAGAACTCAGTCAGCACCTAGCTTCACAGATATGCAGGTAAACAAAATAGATTTTAAAAATTATTGAAATAATGCTTGCTTATACTACTTATTTTGCATTTGAAATATTCTGTATGAATGTTCTCTGTCATGTCATTGTCAGTATATGAACTTCGAGTATGACACAAGATAGTGCAGAATTATTCATTATTACAGTCAAGTTCTCTAATGAGCGTAAACTGAAATAATTTTTAAGCCTAAATCACATGTTGTTGTTGTTGTTAATTGCGAAGTCGTGTCCGACCCATCGCGACCCCATGGACAACGTTCCTCCAGGTCCTCCTGTCCTCTACCATCTTCTGGAGTCCATTTAAATTCATATACTTTGTTCTAAATTTAATTTTCAGTTGCCCTTTTGTTCTTCGTGTTAAGAACTGTTCTGAAAAGAAAAATGAAATTATCCTAGTTAGCAAATATTAGATAGAAGTCTTTAGCATAAATGGTTGAAGAATTGTACTGCAATTCTTGTTTTTGAAACTGTCTTTAATGGCCTGTTTGCTTTATCTGTATCATACTGTATAGATTAGCACTTTGGCAGTCAACGAATGCTGGGTGTTTGTTACTAACTTTTGCAGTATTGTCCATGTCAGCTTTGTCAGCTTTAACCCAATGCTTTACTGCTTTAATTATTTTATAACATAGGCTAACAGTGTAGATAAGAAGGACAAGCGTGTCACCAGAAGATGGAGAACAAAAAGTGTGAGCAAAGATGCTAAAATACAGCTTCAGGTACTGAGTTCACTATATTTTAACTATGGTTTGGTTAAGTATTTCTTAAAAATAATAAAAACATAAAATTAACTTGGATTTGAAGTACTGGATATTTAATTGTTGATAGCTTTTTAAAAATTTAAGATTAAGGTCTGCTGCTCAAATTATTTTTATAATTATTTGTCCTTTCTTAGAACTGCTAGACCTTGTTGCAGAAATCCAGAGGACCGCTGGAAGGTAGCAGATAACTATAGAATTTTATTTCCATCTAGTGGTTCTTTGGATTTTACAGCGTTGATCTGGTAACCATATCATTTCTCCTATTAGCACAAAGGCTTATTAAATAAAGAAAAAAGAAAGAGAGAGAGAGAGAGAGAGAGAGACCTAAACAGGTTGATTCCTTGTTATCAAGGCAATATCATAAGTTACATGATGAATATATATTGTCTACTTTGTGTGTGAATACATTTTGGGAAGTCACATCTAATTGCTATACTTACAGAGCAGTTACATACAGCAGGGCAAGGTTTATCTACTCAAAAGTGATGTTGTATCAGAGGTGTAGATACCCAAATTTTTATTTTTCTAGATACCTTAATGTAGGCAAAAAAACCCAAAACTTTTCATTGAAGTGCCACAAAATCTGGTCTTGAATGCAGAATTTAATGAAATAAAAACAGCATTAATTCTACTGAAAAATGGTAAAGCAGCTGGAATGAAAGGAATTAGAGCCAAGGTATTCAAAGCTGGTAGAGATGATCTAATTCAATGATTACATTCACTATTACCCATTATTTGACAGTCAGAGGAGGTCTCCACTGCATGGAGATGAAACGGCAATAGTTGCAAATGCAAAAGCTACTGGGACTTAGGATTTTACCAGTCATTGGGAAGATCTTCATGAGAATCATTGGCTGACTTTCCAAAAACAATGGGAATAGACAATTGGAGAGCAAACCAAAGAAGATTATTACTTTATGTGTTCATGAAAAAGTTATATACAGATCAGCAGAAAGAACATGGTGAAACAGACTCTCTCAAGTTTGGCAAAGCAATAAGTCAAGGCTATGCACTTTCCCCTTATTTATTCAATCTATATACTGAATATATAATAAGGGAGGCTTATTGAAGGATTGAAGTATGTCATGATTTTAAAATTGGAGGAAAAAACATCAGCAACCTCTGCTTTGTTGTTGATATTACCCTAATAACAAAAATGCAAAGGTCTGCAAGACTAGTTCTAAAACTCAAACGAGCACAATGAAAAAAATGGGATTAAACTAAATGACGACTGGTAGAACAATCAGTCTTAGAACAACCAGCCTTAGAATTGATAGGGAAGATATCAACATTGCAGGTAGCATCTATCTTTTAGTATCAATCATCAACACAAAGGAACAAGCAATAAAGAATTAGGCTGCAGACTTGCACTTGCTAGAGCAGCCATGAAGGCCTTGGAAAAGATACTGAAATACCACAATGCATCTATAAACTATAGAGATCAAAACTGTGCAAGCCATGGTATTAACGGTAATGCTCTGTGGAAGTGAAAGTTGGACTTTGAAGAATCGGGACATAAAGTTTCATTGGTGCTTTTGAAGTCTGACGTTGGACAAGACTCCGGGAATACTGTGAACAGTGAAGAAAACATGTTCAGTGGTTCATTGAACAATTCAATCCACGCTTCTCACTTGGGACACAAATGACCAGACTCAAATGATCCTACTTTGGACACATGCAGAGACCTAGCTTTCTGGACATTTCTAATGTTGAGCAAGATGGAAGGAAGGACAAGAGGACTCAGTTAGATGGACTCACTAGCAGTGATGATAAGTGTATTATTGGAAGACCAAGTTTGGGACAGATAGTCATGAAGAAAATCTATGTATATGGTTGCTAACTCTTTAAATCGGCAATGACTTGGTGGCATGTAATCAATCAGCTGTCTATATAGAATTGGCTGCCTAAGAACATACACAGTGAAAAGGCATAATAATAATATTTCCTGGAATTGAAACAATCACTGGGAAGTTGAATTTCAACCATAGTGTCATTTTGTCAGTTCATCTTTACTGAAAATTATATCATATCCTACTCATCAGGCCACATCCTTATATTCTTTTCTTGGCAAAAATTATTTAGAATGGAATATATCCTGTCACAAATAATGTGTGTCTTATAGGAAATAATAGGATTGCACTATTACAGAGCCTTGCCAAAAGATAATGTTGGGTTCTAGATATTCTTTGAGCTTCTTATTTTACTGTAGACATTTCATACTAATCTAGATAACATAATTTATGCATAGGAAAATGGAGTTTTCCTGGTATGTTACCTATCCTAGCGATGAAATTTTGCAGAAAAACAGTGAAACTCAGGGAACAATGAAAAATTTGACCTTGACCTCCATGTATTCTCTAAAGTTTGGAAATGAATGTATTATTTATGGAAGAATTCACTCTAACAACTTTATAAACATTTATTTTATGAGTGAAGTGGGATATCTTCACATGTTTTTTTTTAAATGACTACTTTCACAAAGAGACTATTACAAACTTGAAAATAAGTAGTTTCTACTTAGAGAAATAATATAGGTCTAATGACAATTGCTTATAAGTGTACAGGACACATTGGAAAAAAAGGAATATAATGACTTCCACTGTATTCTTTCTGAAGTTAGAAGTAGGAGAGAAAGTGTTGTTACCCTGAGTCACACCACACACTGGAGCTTTGCAATAAAAAATTCTGTTTAAAATATGTGCCTTCAAGCTGAAATTAGTTTTGGTCTCTAGCATGGAGACAACCTGCTATGTCTTTCCCCAAAATCAGTGGGGAAAAAGCTAACTTCTAATATGTAACTATTTGTAAGGCAGTACTAATTGGTGTACAGTTAATCAGATAAGAAGGGAAACTAAGATTGCATACAAAATATTTCATTTTCTACTTGAATTATGTTTCTGCTATAAGCAGTGGTGGGATTCAAATACCTGAACAATTGGCTCTCTTATTGGATGCAGGCCTGGGCCTCCGAGGCCTAGAACGGACTTCTGGAAGTGGCATCCACACACTTCCGGCGGGCTGTTCTAGGCTGTGGAGGCCTTTTCCAAGCCTCTGAGGCCTAGAATGAACTTCCAGAAGCAGTGTACAATCAGCCGGTTCTCCGAACTCAGCTTAGCTTCCGGTTCTGGTGAACCGGCTGAATCCCACCACTGGCTATAAGTAAAATGAGGGTTTTTTTACATATAGATGATGTGGCATGCTTTGCATGAAATGTTTATATAACAGTGGTTTTGTTAATGTCTTGTGTAAGGAATATCAAATTTAGGCTATTTTACTCCTTATAATCTTGATGTTACTGCTCTGTTGATGCAGTCTGGGACTGCATTGGCTTTTTTGGCAGCTGTAGTACACTGCTGGCACATACTTACATAATGGTTTGCTAGGATACCAAGATCTTTCTCACAGTTACTACAGGTGTTGCCTATTCTATAGCTGTGTATTTGGTTTTTCTTGCCTAAGTGCAGACTGCAATGTTTCAGCTATTTTTTTTATATAGCAGAAATTTCAAGGAGATTTTTCTAAATTTATTCTCTGCTTTCAAAAATTCTGTTTAGATTGCTTTGTGACCTATTTATCATAATTTTCCCACATTGCTTTGTGACCTATTTATCATAATTTTCCCACATGGTATAATTAAGAAGCCTACAAAATTTGCACATTTTGGGATTAATGTAATGTTTTTGAAATTATGTGGAAAGATTTTAGAATAACAGTCAACAGTCTGAAGGATTGTTTTTCTATCAAATCACCAAAATTAAACAACAAAAAAGAAATAAATATTGCAACATTCTAAAACATAGCTTTGCATTTTTATGTAAATTGATATTTTAGTGATATGTGGGATTAATGAAGATTGATCTGAAAGCCTGGATCCAAATTTTAATTTCACTGTCTCTATTTCTAATGTAGATGGATGCTCTGTATAGATGGGGAAGAGTATCCTCCCCTCAATGTGACTATGGGGTCCCACATCAAACTATAGATCACATCGTAATTGGTTGTAAGCTGAGGGCATACTGTATACCGATCTAGTATCTGATTTTTTTTAATATAAACAATGCTGCGTTTCAATGGTTACATTGCCTAGACATTGGTATTTGAACATAGATCTTTTTAACATTTATATTTTACTGGGTTTTGCTAATCTAGATGAAATGTTAATATATTGCTAGTCCATGTATGATACGCCATGCGTTAAATAAATAGATAAATTTGTAATATGTTAATCTTGCAATAGTGTTCTGATTTAATACTAATAATTTATTGACTGGGAATGTGTTGGCTTAGTGGTTAAGGACTCTTAGTTGGTCAGCTGGAAAAGCTGACAGCCAGGGTTTGAGATGCATCTCTGTGTAAAGTCACGCTGGCCACATGACCACATGACCAAATGCTTTGGACAATACTGGCTCCCTCAGCTAAGAAATTGAGATGAGCACAACCCCCTAGAACCAGAACAAATATATGGGAAAAATCTTTACCTTTAATCTATTTACTATATATCTATTTATTTTAGTGCAGCTTCATTTGTTGCTGCTAAAGTATGAAAACCATTTGAAATAGGAAAAATATATTAGAAGCTACATGGAGTTATTTTTGGATATGTGACTTTTAAAAAAAAACAGGATTCCAAATTTCTCCTATTGTAATAGACTAGTTCTCTTGGGTGGCTCATAATAGAAAGGTTCCTAGATATAACTAAGCATCTGTTTAAATCACATCTGGTATAAAATGGAAATGAATATTTTCTCTCTTTTCTGTGCCCTTTTCTGAGCTCCTTAGGTTAAAATATAGTAAAATATAGTAATGACTGTATTCAACATCAGTTTTAGCTGTATTCAGAGTTTTCCCACATCCTCCATCTGTTACTTCTGATTCTTACCTCTATTCCCCTTCAAATTAAACAATGCTTTAGAGTTGAAGACCTAGAGGGATAGAGCTGCAGAAGCAAGAGATGCTGAAGGGAAACATCCACTGTAGGGATAGAAGTCTGTTTGCTTCATATTACATATAGTCCAGGAATAAAATGAAAGAACTGTGCAGGAGGAATGAAGCAAAGATTTGTGCAATCTTAAGTCTTACTCCCTTTTTCTGGATGGAAATAAATGTAGTTAACTTGAACAAGCTTCAGAGGCAGAGGGGAAACCTTCCTGCCCAGCTAGGAATATGTTATGTATCTTACTTATTGTCAGTTGGACATACAAAGTTACGGTGTGGCTTTAAAAAGAGTTGTTTATAATCCTGCAAAACGACTGTTTGCTGCATGCTGTGGAAAGGTAACTTTACAGTAGATCTTAGATGGCATATCAAAAGATGGTCATCACTCTTTTGGTAGATGAGACGTATAGGTAGTTATTTAATGTTTGGTGTTATTTGGGGATGGGGGATGCAGAATAGCTTTGAAAGAAAATGGAACAAGTTAATAATGTAAAAATCTATAGGAAATATGAGTTTTGGAAAAACTTAAAATATGAGCTTACTTTTGTCTAGCTAAAATGTAGGAAATCTGCAGAGAGGTCAAATAGTTTTGATGTCTGCCACAGTCATGGACTCAAAGTCCTTATGATACATGCAAAAAGGGCAGCGCCTCAGTTGCCTGGTAGTGGCTGCTATCTTCGCTTTTTTGACCCCTTTCTTGTAGCCACCCTGCTGACCTGTAAAGCATAGAGCAGCATTCCAGGTGATTGTATTAGAAGTACAAAGTAAATCATCTGAATGTCACATCCTTAGTTTTTTGTTATCTTTTTACCCCATACCTATTTTTTTATTATTTCCATGATAAATGTTTAGACATAAATCATAGTGGACCACAGTCAGATGGTACTGAGAAAGCTGTATAATAATTATTCTGAATTTCTACTGCATATGATTCAGTGACAAAACAAAAGTTCTTTTCTACCAAAATATTCTTTACCACTACGAACTATGATAAATTTTGATGATTCCTTATAGATTGACAATATTGAATTATAGCTAAGATTTGATTATTTGTTTACCTATTTCCTGAATTGGCCAATCAACAAGCAATACAATTTCATTTAGTTTAATTATCATGATCTTACCCGAAGGAAGAAAACAAATAACTTTTCCTTCCTCATATATACAGTAGACATAGGATAAGATAGATAGTCCCTGTTTAGGTTCAGAGAGTTATGCAATTTGGCTTTTTTAGGAAGAATATTCCATTAAAAAAAAACCAACCCTTCCTTTCTTTGATCATCTGTCTCCTTCTTGCCTTCCATCATTCTTCTTCCTTCTTTTTGCTTCCCTGTTCTTTCCATGTTCCCTGTCAGGAAGGGACTGCACTGAAGGGCCAATTCGGTACTGCACGGCGCCGGCAGAGACTAGCAGCAGCAGTGGCTACAACAGTGAGTGGACTCCTCAGTCAAGGCATCTCCATTTTTAAAGATGAGAAACTATATACCTTGAACATGCACTTACCATATGGAGAGCTTGGAGCCCTTCAAAGGCTGGTCACACTGGGGAAGTTTAGAGGGCAAGGCTGGAAAACTAGACCTGTTACATAAGGGGGACGGTGGCGGAACGCAAGCATTTTATATTTACACACAAATATAAATGAGATCATAAAGCTCTGATTGATAGGACTTTATAAAAGCACCTTACAAAAATCTAGCCAAACTTCATGGACTCTAGATCCTGTTGATTTTGGAAAGAGAAAATGTGGTTCTAGCAAAAAAAACCTTCAGTGTGACTGGACTGTAAATTGTATTGTTTATATAGTCTTTTCTCACATAAGTGGTTGTATTTTTATTTTCTGAGCTAAATTCTTTTGTGTTTTATGCTCATGGTGTTCCTCATTATGAGCAGTATGTAAAGCATTACAGATGTTACATTGCCAGGAATTATTGCTAGTACCATGGCTATTATATTGATGAAAAGTAGCCCAGCTCCTTCGCTCTCACTCACCTCTTTATGCATGGCCGTCTATGGGATTTTTTTAGTTGGGGGCCCACTTAGCCTTTGAATGGCATTTTGGGAATCAGCCTCCAAAACGGGTCAAACTGACCAAGGGCTGGAGTGAAGGAAAGAAAAAAATGTTGATTTAAATTAAATGTAAATTAAATTAAATTAAATATAATGGATACACTCCATCCTCATGTGTTCGGTATTTTTCCCTGACAGGTGCAAAAGTTGTAATTAGGAGCAACAATTGGTGAGGCTGCTCCCAAGACTTTGGAGGGCCCCCTAGGCCAAGGGTAGGCAACTTTGGCTCTTTTATGACTCGTGGACTTCAACTCCCAGAATTCCTGAGCCAGCATGGCTCAACTTGGAAACCTCTCCCTTTCCCCTCAGCATGGCTGGCTCAGGAATTCTGGGAGTTGAAGTCCACGAGTCATAAAAGAGCCAAGGTTGCCTACCCCTGCCCTAGGCTTTGTGACCCCAGACTATATGCTCCTTCTCTGTTAGTGGATTCTGTGACCTAAACAGAAAGAAAGGCTTAAAAAATTCCAAGTCACCACGTGTATTTCCCTCCCTAGAAGAGAGGCAAAGTTGTGGGAAATACAGAGGTTTTATAACTGAAAAGCAAGTCAGACAGAATTTAAATCAACGTGGAAACATTTGTAAATAATGATTCTACATACAGACTTGTAACACATTCAGAATTTGGATTTCTCTTAACTTGAAGCTTTAATATATTTGTTTCTGCTTGAATTGTTCAATGAGGATGGAAGTTTAACACTTGATGGAAATGTTCATTCTGACATGACATATCAGCCATTTCAGTTAATTATTGATTATTGATTTGATTCTAGTAATGGTTTGGAAATTATACCTGACCTTTGATATGGAGCATTTATCTAATGCTTACCTTTGAGATCTTAATTTAATTTTATGTAGCTTATAAATCTATTCTTTTTCCTTTTAAAAATTGTTCTGTTTCCTCTTGGGTAGTGATTTTAAATACAATCGAAATAACAATCGAAAGAGAAATACATAGCCAGGCAACTGAGTTTCATAAAAATAATTAAATTAATATAATATGTATAACTAGAAAACTACACACATACAAACTCACACACAAATTCATATTTAAAATGTGGATGTTTACTGAGAAAGGGTTTTAATATCAGAATTATTATGATCTTAGTATAATTGTTCACATTTATTTATAATAAAATACACAATCCACTTTCCCCCTGAAGATGTATATATCCAAAATGTATTTGTTTCTTTGTTTTTTATCTTGCCCTTATTATTTTTTTTATAAATAACTCCCTCTCCAAAAAATGCAAATGTGCTAAAATGGAGTGATAATAAAACAACCAAATGCCTATGTATGTTGTATTTACACACACACACATACACACACCAGGATGTATGAATATTAGTAAAAGACTATTCAAATCTAATGCTCATTTTGGAGTGAACTCAGTGAATTCTGAGTAGCATTATTTCTCAGTTCGGTTGCTTAAGCCGTACTTGTTCTTTTAATGGAAAAAAAGATTTCTGTACAAGGTCCATTAAAGAATTCCTTCATGTCATATTACATTATTAGATAAGTTTCATTTCTGCTCCATTCTCAAAAAGTCATCTTACTGCCATTATTGTTAATATTTTATTATTTTTCTTTTTAGATAACTAAGACAACTAATAGAAGGCGAACAAATCAATTAATCAATGAAATAAAGTTGGGTTAATTTGACTAGGTGGAAGTAGAAGAGTACAAACAATTCAGAAACTCAGAGAAGATATTTAATTATTTATGTTTGATTCCCTCAATAGGTCCCACAATTACTAAGCGACAGACAGTTCATGAATCTGAATTGCCAAAAAAGAGAGAGAGAGAGAGAGAGAGAGAATGCTTGAGACATCTATAACGAGATTTTATGATAAAGTAATAAGTGACCGTGTAGCTCAGTGGTTCTCAACCTTTTTAATGCCGCAACCCCCAACCCGTCGTAAGTCGAGGACTACTCAACTAGTGCAGCACCATTTGCAGAATGGGACTTTTGGCGGGCTCAGCAGGGCAGAGACAGCCTGGACAATTCCTATTGGCTTTTGAAAGCCAATAGAATTAGACTCTATTCAAGAGAGTCTATTCTATTGGCTTTCAAAAGCCAATAGAATAAAAGGGAGTAGCACAGCTAAGGGAAAAGGGAAAAAAATGGCGGACTGCGTTGTTTGGCGACCCCCGTGAAATGGTCATTTGACCCCAAATGGGGTCCCGACCCACAGGTTGAGAACCACTGGTGTAGCTAATTAGCATCTTAATATATAAAATACATTTAATTATGAGCCACTTTTCAGCCCTGTAATACAGGACACTAGATAACTGAAACAATTCAGTAGAATATTAACAAATGACAAAACAAAATGTATGTTTACCAAAAGACATAGTGATTTAAAATAACAATATTAATAACAATTAAATATCGGCTAATGAAGTAGGTTACTGCAGTGATCAGTCTTGGTGCCAATAAAAAAAATAAAATTGTCCCTCCTTACCCTTCCATATGTCGGACATTTTAAATTTGACACATTTAAGAAAGTCATTTTTGAGGAACTATCTGTTTATTGTACATGTCACTGGACTTCTTGTTCAGGCAGGCTTATTTGGTAGGAAATTACCTTTGATATAAGCAAATCCTTCTCAACACAAAAAAATAAGAATTGGAATTGTGCTTGCAGCTGAACTGACCAAATACATCAGAAATTGTAGGTAACTCTAGACTTAACAATTATTTATTCAGTGACTGTTTGAAGTTACAGAGGCACTGAGAAAAGTGACTTGTGACTTTTTTCACACTTATGACCGCTGCAGCATCCCCAGGGTCATTTGATCAAAATTTGGATGCTTAGCAGTTGGCATGTATTTATGGCAGTTGCAGTGTCCCAGGGTCATGTGATCCCCTTTTGCAACCTTCTTACAAACAAAACCAATGGGGAAGCCAGATTCACTTAACAGCCATGTTACTAACTTAACAATTGCAATGATTCACTTAACAACTATGGCAAGAAAGATCATAAAATGGGGCAAAATTCCCTTAACAAGTGTCTTGCTTAGCCACAGAAATTCGGACTTAATTGTGATCGTAAATTGAGGACTACCAATATTTAGAAGTGGAATAGTGCTGAACACAAAATTATGGAACTTTTAATTTTTTGAATAATTATTAAAAGTTAAATATAAATGTTGTAAACAAACATTTGAAATGGGCCTTCACAAAAGGATAAATAGCCTATCACACCTTTATTCCACCATTGGTCCAGTTTGTAGATACTATATAAAATTTATTCTCTTCTTTTCCTCTTGCCTAGATTGTTAGAAAGAGGTCAGTTTTGAAATAGTCATATTCAACTGGTTTTAAATAATTAGTTCATATCTGTATTCAAATGTATGATTTACTTTATTATGATCTATTGTATGTGTGCTAAAAAATTAAATATGTAAAACTAAAAAATAAGGTAGATAGAGATTTCTCCCTGGCCTAGTTAGATCTTTTAAGGTATGATTTGCATTTATTCAGAGTCAGTGACCCTCCCTTCAAAAACAAGGATTCAGAGTGCCGTCGGAAGTATAAATATGCTCTGTTGGCAAACTGGGGTTTTCATAAGTGGCATTTTTCTTGTTTTCTGATTCTTGGGTAATGTAGTTACTTCCTTCATTTCAAAAGTCCAAGATTAAGAAAACCTTAAATCTTAAAAATGTTATCAGTTGTTTCTTTGATGGGGGAATTGCTGGATCTCTTTAGATCCTAGCTTTTTGAAAGAGCATAGGCTAAATAAATACTTGGTCTGTGGAGCACAAATATTCCCCCAGAGCTTTCCAGAGAATGAGTTAACTTCGTGTGAACTTCTTCTGTCCTTGTCTCCTATCATCCTCAAAGGAAGCCATTGCAAGAAATGTTCTCCCCATGTTGGAGAAGTGTTTTCAGAGCCTTTAGAACAGAGGTATCAAACTGCTGGCCCATGGGCCAGTTTCATCATACTGAAGCCACGCCTACCCCATTGCCGGCAATGCAAAAAGAGTTGCAATATGTCATAACATGTCATGTAACATGGCGAGTTTGACACCTATGCTCTAGAAGGCAAGGTGTGGTTGCCCTAGCCCTCAGTCTTTATATGAGGTTTATTTTTTTCCTCCTCATAGTTATGTTGTGAATTTAAAACACTTTCCTGCTTCCATTTTAAAGAAAAGATCCTAGTTTATTTCTCCCCTGGAAAAGTTTACCGTTCAGGGCTTAAATATAGTGGAACTTAGTGGATTTAATTGAGATTTAGATTCCAGATAATTGCTTAAATGGAACTTAACATTTCAGTTAGAATAACTAAATATCTAAAGGAAAGAAACAACAGAATTATAGTTTAGCTAAATAAGAATTTCAGTCACGTTTTGGTAACAATTTTATTTTAGGCCAGTTTCAAATAGTATGAAAAAGGAAATAATCTATTAAAATATAGAGTAATGTGTGATTTTTTATGTTGCTGTTGTTCAGATTATTTCAGAAGACTGTAATTTTTTTGTGATTGGCAGGGCAAGCTTTGAAAGTTCTTAGGACGAAGCAATTAGGATGTCTTGTGAGACAATTAAGGAATCCACACATTAAAGTTCTTGCCGTTCTTAAACAACAGCACCTTTTTCAGGCTTATAGAGAAAATACTTAAATGGGGGGTACCTTAAATGATCAGCAGAGAGAGGCTGCACTTGTGTGAGATCAAAACCACATTGGTATCATATTTAAAGTGTGCATAGGCCTATTTTGTAATATTTTTCCAAGTATTGGTCCTTAAATTACATGAGCAATTTGAGTTGGAATAAATTTTAAAATAAAATTGAATACATATCTAACATTACTTACGTTGTTCATGTTGATGCCATAGACTAGCATGTATATTATTGTAAGCATTTATGTGTGTTTGTTTTTATGAGCATGTATGTCAGATTGCATACATATTTAGGATAGGTTTTACAGATATATCTCAAAGTTGCACATATGTTTTGTACTAAAATTATACATATTCAATGTACATTTAATATATATACAGAAACATATTTTAGAAAATAATAAAAAAATGGAGATGGCATATATCCTGGGCCTTTCAAGATATTCAAAGAATCTTAATTCTAAGTATTATATAGGGTAGTTTTTAATCATGCCCTCCAGATATTGTTGAAAACCATCATGAACAAAGTTATGGGGGATTCAATTTAAAAGCATCTTGATAGCATGAATTTGGGGGAAAGCTAATGTAAATAAGATACTATATTTTCAAATTATACCAGTTTAGACACCAGAACAATATGTGATTTGAAGATGTATTTCTTCAATATTAATATTAACTCTTCTTTGGGAAAAATCTTTTTTTTAATTTACCGATCTGTTTAAGTGTGTGCTGAAACCATTAACTGAATATAATATATATTTACAATGCCACCATTCACTTATCTGCTTTTTCAGGAATAATTTCAGCAGGTATTGATTAAAATCCATTATTTTATTCCTTCCCTCCAATATATAGTATGATTTGTTGTACTTTGCTGTCTTTAGAAGACCCTTACTTTTGCACATTATAAGTGTTAGCTCTGTGTGTGTTTTGAAAACTATCTATTCCTTGCATAGCATAAGTATTTTTCAATTAATGTTCAAAAAGCATCAGCATTGATTTGAGAGAAAGGAGCCTAACTTGGCACTCGCTGCAAAATAAACAAAAGTGGTGGACTGCTTCCAGGTGAGGATTTTTGATGGAATTCCGTGATTTGCTTACTCACATTTTGTAGGAAGTTCACACAATATAATCACTTGCATAAATGCTGCTTGTCCATGTTTTTTTATGAGATGTGGTTCTGAAATGTGGAGCACTCTATTTTATGTGAATCTCACAATTTAGTACATGTTTAGTGTGATTTTTGCAAAAGGATGCTGTTTTTATCACCTCACTGTTTTTTAAATGTTGTATAAGTAATCTAAAGCATGTTTTCTGTTTTAAAAATTAAGATAATACTAAAATACAGCTTAAATACAGTGTCATATACAGTCCTACAACGTGTCCACATCTAAAAAATGGATTTCCAAACATGATCAGCACCATAATGCTACTTAAAAAAAACAACTTGATATAGTTTTCAATCACCAGTCACTTGCTAAAATGGTAGCAACTGTTAAGGGAACATTTTCATAGTATTTGCATGTGTATGGATATAAAAAGAGTCTGCGTGCACACAAATACAAGAGTCAAATCTATTTAGAAACATTATTTAACAAAGAACAAAAATGAGTGATAAAAATAGCAATCACTAAGATAGGCTCATTCGCCCAATACATTAATATTTAAGCCAAAAACCGCACATCTTTTAGACATGGAAGAATGCTATACTAATTGTGTTTATATGGTTTGAACTTCATAAGATATATAAAAAGGAAAATAATTCTAACCTGATACTTTAAAAAATAAATTCCAGTTCAGTTAATAGAAGAGCAGAGTTCTGTTAGTGATAGAAACCAGAAAGAACCCTCTGCTGGGAAGGCAATTTAAAAAAAAAAGAAAAAAACCCCAACACTTTCTAAATATTTACAATAATAAAGCCTAAAATAATATAAGAAATTATTTAGGTATTATAAGGTTTTTCTGGTCTTTCATGGAAATCAGTGTGATGTATCTGTTGATTTTAGGTTCCTTTCAGTACGACAATGTCTCCTGTTCGCCTGCATTCATCTAATCCTAACCTTTGTGCGGACATCGAATTTCAGACCCCACCAACTCATGTAGCGGATCCTTTGGAAAACTCCACAGACTATCTAAAACTCCAGGAAGAATTTTGCCTCATGGCTCAGAAAGGTAAGTGTTAGCATATCCCACTGGGCACTGCTGCTAGTTTGGCCATTTCATCTGTGAAAATGTAAACAGGTGGAATCAGTTACCTAAGAGACTTTTTCTTCCTGAATTGGTTTTCAGGAATCCTTCTAGTAAACTTGCAAAATAGATATCCTTATACAAAGCTATACCTGCATGAAAGTTGTGTTATTGCTTGGATGGGTTTTTTTCATCAGATCAGTAGCTAATTTTCTTGAAACTTCTCAAGCTTGTGGTAGTATAATCTGTTTAAAAAAGCCTTTGTTCTATTGAGGCTGTCATTGTAGTAAAAGTCAGAAGCAAATATAGTCTATCATTAGGAGCTGCGAGAGAGCATAGTTTGCTGAAACATTTTCAAGAACAGAATATAAATCACTTATGCTGTGTGTATCCGAGATGCTGCTGTCAACCCTTTTCAGTTTTGGGGAGACAGTTGTGAAAGTATTCTAAAGAGGTATTTTGTATCAAGGTAGTCCTTGAGTTAACGACCACAATTGAGCCCAACTTTTATGTTGCTAAGTGAAACATTTGTTAAGTGAGTTTTGCCCCATTTTATTATGACTTTTCTTGCAACAGTTGTTAAGTGAATCTGGCTTCCCCATTGACTTTGCTTGTCAGAAGTTCACAAAAGTAGATCACGTGACCCTGGGACACTGCAACCATCATAAATATGAACCGGTTGCCAAGTATCCAAATTTTGATCATGTGACCATGGGGATGCTGAAATAGCTGTAAATGTGAAAAATGGTCATAAGTCACTTTTTTCACTGCCATTATAACTTTGAACGGTCACTAAATAAACTGTTGTAAATCAAGGTCTACCTGTATATAGTGTTTTCCACCACTGCTTTTCTTACCTATTGTAATCTGCATGCTGCTCATTTCTATAACCTATTTAGGTTACATTTAATTACTTGCATACAAAAAACAATAAGGGTGTTTTTCAAAGACATTCTTGTTTCTTCTTTAGTACATTCTCTTTTGAAGTCTGCGTTTAACAGTATAGCAATAGAAAAGGAAAAGCTGAAACAGATGGTATCAGATCATGATTTCGCAGGACGTAACACACAGATGATACGTCTTCGACAATCACTTTCTCAGGTAAGGTGATATGAAAATGAATGTTGACTTTTGAAACAGCTATAATGTACAGTGTGTGTGTGTGTGTGTGTGTGTGTGTGTGTTTGTTTCTAACTACACACGGCAACTTTTTAATAGATAGTGAAATACAAAGTAGTACCAGCAATAATTTCCATTATATTTCATGCTTCCATGCAACATAATAAAAAACGAATGTTTGTGATTTCTTTTCCTTCCTAGTGTTTTCAATCTACTCTATAAGATAAATCAATTTAATATTGTTCCTGCTGAAAAAACATTATACTGATGTTAACATTATACTTTATACTGATTTTTAATTTTGTTTTTCTGCTATCTAGAATTCCACTTCAAGCATATCTTTAACCTCCTTTTTTGGCATTCACCTGTATCTTAGTTATAAAGGGAGCTATGTAGAAGTATTAATGTGGTAGACTCTGTTTCCTATGTATCCTTTAAATCTATTTTGCTGTGAGGGTGTGGTGCTAAGTAAATTAATATGACACATCATGCCCAAGATTTTCCAAGGTTTTTTTTTATGGAGAAGAAAAAAGAAACCTCTACCACCACCCCAAATTGTATCCTGAGGTTTACAACAATTTCATCTGAAGAATTGTGCTACCAATTTTCAGTGGGAAATTGACATATTTTAGTTGCATGATAAGAGAGGCTCTTGAAACTGAAAAATAGTAGCTTGTTGGCCTTAATGTTGTCTACCCCACCTTGATTAATCTGATATCTGCTTATTTACAGTAGATATCAACTGAAATAGATATTTTTTATGGAGAGCAGCAAATTTTTGTATGATTGCATAACATGATCTTGTTTCCTTTTGTAATTTAGATCATAATACACCACACAATTCTATGTACTGCTATTTCATTCCACTTACTACGAATGAAGTAAAATGTAGATGAAAAAAAAACCCATATTAAAAAACAACAACCAAAATAAAAACTCACAAACTGCTAGACTATGGATAATTAATCAGCATTAAACCACAGTAATAATAGTAGCAATAAAAGTTGTAAGTATTGTAACTGTTCACAAAAATGGGAGAATAAGAGACCTCTGTCTTGGAACTATATCGAAGGTATCTGTCAAGTATTTTTGAGAAGGGTGTTTCAGCGATAAGGTACCATTGAAGAAAAGGAATTCACAAATACTTAGGTGTAGACTTTCTATCTGTCCACCTTTCCATTCAGATGATTAGTCTGTTTAAATAAAATCTGCATTTGCAATAATGCAATGTAATAAATACAATACAATACAATATCGATTGCATGGAAGTAAGGCATACAAAATCCCATTGATATTTTTCTCAGTTTCACCTTAACATCTATATAGTATCATATATATATATATATTTACAATTAATGTTGATATTAAGTTGTTAACATCTATAGTTTTTCTTTAATGTTTGTTTTACTGTTACTGTTTTCTACTTGAAGTCATGCTTTAATTTCTAGAATTTTTCTAATTATGGTTTTTGTTGTGGAATTGTCTTGCTTCATTCATTCGGGTTTTTTTTTTTCATGAGGTGATTAGATGATACAGGTTTTGGTTATAACCTCTTCTATTTTGTTACTCATTTTCCTTCCCAAGGAAGAGGAAATTATTTGCAATGTTTATTGATTAGCATTTATAGAATATCTTGAAACCCAGTATCCTAGAATATCTCCTTTCCTAGTGTAGCAATTTCTACAGGGAGGAAAATAGGCAAAGAAGTAGTGAGGAAGAAAAAAAAAATTTTCATGGAATAATCCATATCTAGTAGGATGTTATTCTTTTGCCTCTGGTCACAATATCATCTAAGTGACCCAATTAGCATTTTTATTGTCGTGTAATTATTGTATTATTTTTTTAAAGATAAAATAGTAACATGGCATACAATTTTGCTTCCAGTCTGGCATCTTACAGTTCTCTGATCATTTAGTTTTCATTTCTTATGAGTTTCTGTAGAAGAACATAAAACATCTCTAAATCTAGAAAAGAATCAGGGTTAACAAGTGAAATCATATTTTTCTTTACTAATCTTTTCCTCTCTTTCTTTGATCACCAAAATGTTTGCCAAAATTTCCACGGTCCCACTTTCCCCTCATTGCGATATGTTTCGGTGAATCCTCTTTTGCTACTAAATAGAATTCAGTTTCATAAATCAAGTTTGTCTACCTTACTTAATATTAAACAGTTAATATTAAAATGTATGTTTTCTAATTTGTGGTAAATAAGGCATTTCAGGAGATGAGGTTGTTGCTTTTTTTTTTCCTACCCCATTATATAAAAGCTAATGATTATTTGGAGAATATTTGCACTCTGTTACAAATATATTCAATAGTATGGGATAATATTAATATGAGAACCAATCTGGTGTAGTGATTAAGGCACCAAGCTAGAAATTGGGGAGACTGAATTATAGTCCTGCCTTAGGCACAGAGCCAATTGGGTGAACTTTATCCAGTCTTGACCCTAGAAAGAAAGCAATGGCAAACCATTCCTAAATTTTGCCAAGAAAACTGCAGGCCCTTGATCAGGCAGTCACCAGGAGTCAAGACTGATTTGAAAGGAGAGAGAGAGAGAGAGAGAGAGAGAAAAGGAGGGAGGGAAGGGGGAGAGAGAGAGAGAGAAAAGGAGGGAGGGAAGGGGGAGAGAGGGATGATATCAGTAATAAGTAGTGATATATTAAAGACTTGCAAGCAGCAGTCATTATTATTATAAGTATTATTTCTATTAAGTGCATGTTTTCTTACTGGAAATTATGCATGCATGCTTATTTATTTATTGAACTCATATGGGTTGCTTCTCTTACATTGAGATCCTAGGTGATTCATAACAACTAATAAAAACAGAACAAGCCTTTCCATCAGGGTCAAACCAATCACCTCTCAATCTCCAGGCTAAACCCCCACTCTAGTCCAGTGTTTGGAGGAAGAGGCAGGTCTTCATGGCCTTCCAGAAGGGTAAAATATTTGGGTTTTCTCAAATCTCAGTTGGGAGGCTATTCCAAAGGGCTTCTATAGAGAAGGTGTGCTTCCAATATCCTATCAGATGACAGAATTTAATGGAAGGGATTTCGAATTAGTTTTTTGTTCATAAACTAATGAAACAAGTCAGTATCTGTGTTATAGGTATGCAGGCCAATTCTGTGTAAGTCTAACTCTGGGTAAGATACTTGTATTGAATTTCAGTCTTTATAGCCAAATATAATGAGATGCAAAAACGGTTTCAGACACTATTTCTAAATTGATATGTCTCCCTAGAAAGGTTACACATTTACTTAGAACAGTAACAGGTAGATAGGCTTCAAAGCCTATTCTCCATAGACTGTTTTTCTAATAATGGCTTACTCTTCATAAAGGAAACAAATATAGAAATCTGATTAATTTTCTTGTATAAAAGCAGTGTGGAAATTATTCTGAATAAGAAAATATTCCACAGGGAAAGATTTGAGCACCGCTTTTACCACTGGTCCTTCCAAGGCGTGCTTTATTTAAAGCAGTGGTTCTCAACCTTTCTAATGCCGCGACCCCATAATACAGTTCCCCATGTTGTGGTGACCCCCAACCACTTATACATCACTGGGTGCCAGGGGCGTGGCCAAAGAAAAGGGGAAAAAATGGCGGACAGCCTTGTTTGGCGACCCCCGTGAAATGGTCGTTTGACCCCAAATGGGGTCCCGACCCACAGGTTGAGAACCACTGATTTAAAGGGTGCACGTGGATCTTCCATATTTTATCCTGATCTCAGACTTATCTAAAGTGTGAGGGACTTTAGGGTATTCTCAACATCAAAGCCATAAAACCAGTAATAAAATCTTGGGAGGAAATATCATGATACTGTAGTTACAATAATGCATAATAAGTAAATAAATCTTTGGGGAGTAGCATTTATGATCATCAAGAGATGTTAATTTTGGAAATGAATCCTTCCCAACACATTGCATAATAACACTATGCTTTGGCCAGGATATAGGAGATGAAGATAGCTTGGCTCTATTTTTTACTATTTTTGTGCAGTTGAAATTAAATATTCAATTTTATTATTTTAAGGCTCTCAACCAGAATGCTGAACTAAGAAGTCGTTTGAACAGAATACATTCAGAGTCTATTCTTTGTGATCAGGTTGTCAGTGTAAATATTATCCCTAGTCCTGATGAGGTAAGACTTTGGCATTGCTCTAATGGACTTACCATAGTTAAATTCTGCTAATAACCATTAATGGTTAAATGATTATGGTTGGCAAAGATGGCACACAGTGGGACAAACTCATTTTAGATAATAATTTTCTAATTGCATTCATGAAAGTAATAAGCTATAATTAGTGGGAAATTCCCTTTGGAAAACCATAATTTAAATTGCTGAGTAGAATATTTGGCAACCTCATTCAGATAGTATTTGAACGTGCAGCTGAAATGTAAATACATAAGAGCCATGCCAGTTTATATTAACTACCTATATAATATAACAGCCTGTTCCCAGGTTACTATGGGGACCCTGTGAATATTTAGCATTTTTTCTATTCATGTTTTCTGTAGCTGATCTTCAGAGATGATCCTAAGATTGGCCTAGAGCTGTCTGGCTTAATAGCCACTGATAACTTTATCCCCATGAATTTCTTGAATACCCTTTTAAATTATACCTAAGCTATAGGCTTATCCCAGAGAATGTTTATGCATATGGTTGTCAAGAATTAACATAAAAAAAAGAATTAACATCAACTCGATGACATCTAATTAGTTGATCAGCAATTGATTTTAGGATAGCTAATTCTCTACATTTAAATACTGTGGGAAGATAGACGTTCATTTCTTTTTCCTAAATATGCCTCTGAATTTCTGTGCTGTGAGAGAAATACTATACATTTTCTGTCTATTTATATCATGCATAATTTATTCATACCTGCTACCTTTTTTTCAAAACTAAAAATCTAAACTGATATATTTTTTTCTGGTTCCTGTTATGATCCCATGATCTTTTCTGGTTCATCTTTGCCTATTCAGTGGCCATCAGTGTGTTTTGGACTTAAAATTTTTGGCCTTGGTGCATATTATTTTATACTTAACAGTTCTTGAACTACCTTTGCCATTTTATAGCCTCTTGCTCAGTTGATAGAAATGGGTTTAGAACTCTTCTCTGCCATTTTTTGGCCACTCTGATCAGTCCATACAGTCAGTTACCTTATTTGGCTAGTCTAACTCTAGATCTTTAAAAATGAGTTTAAAATGTGTTCAAAAAGCATTAGTCATTATCAGTATAGGTTCTCAGAGTAACTCCACTACTCCATTCATGGTAAGAATTGTCTGCTTCCTTTCTGTTTTCTGATCATTTGGCATTATCAATCTTATGCTTTCAATTTTAAAGATGGAAGATAAACCAGTTAGCATTGCAACAATACCTGTTGATGATCTTCTTTCTTTTCTGTTCTCCTTTTGGCAGGAGACCTTCCAGGTTAGAAAATGTAAAACTTCACCAACATCTCTATTTCATTATATATTTTTCTTTCAGACTCCTTTTCTTGAACATTATGGTCTCTCTCTTCCTCTCTTACTTGCATTTTATGCCATGTTTTAATTACCTTACCATGCACTTTGTTGGTTAACCCTTCAATTCAGACAAAAGTATATTTTTCTTGCATCTTTCATTTGAAGCTACGTCTATTGCATGAAGTTAGAATTCCTCCATAGTATGAATTGAGGCAAACACATGTAGGTACTTTTTAAAGCTGCTACGCCCCTTTTGAAACAGAATTTCCTGCATCTGACAGCATATATAGCTTCTCATTTTCTTGGTTTGCAGTAATTGCTTTTCCTATATTCTTAGGTCTTCCCATCCTTTTGCAGTAGCTTCTTAGTGATGTGTGTTGAGCTTTGTTGTATATCAAGAAGTGTTATTTTAATGGAATATAATTTGCATTGGGAAGTAATGAAATAAAAGAGATCCATGCTGCAAGCCTGAATGACAGAGCTTATATATGACTTCTCCTAAACAGGGAGGAGTGCTTGAAGTACAGTAAATAGAATACAAGCACTGCTTTTCCTAATAGCACACTTAATAGCAGAGTGGTAAGAAGACTATAATCAGAATTAAAAGTTATTAGCATACTCAATCCTGGAAATGTAACTTACTCAGAACTGAACATAGTCAGTAATTACAGAATGTTGAATGACAGTGGGGAAGAATAGAATTCCCTCTTTGAGGGAATGGCTGGCTGAGTATGAATTGAATTCTAGACAGCCAGTATTTTGTGGCAAGTCTCCTCAATACATGTGGAAGTGCAGTGCAAACATACTAAGAATTGTATTAATCCCGAGGAAAGTAATGCATCTCCTTCTCCAGGTATCAGAAAGTTTTGAGTGCATCCTGAAAATATGACTCCTTTTCAACTAAATTCTCAATTTGCTAGATACAGGGCAGGTTTACAGGGCCATCTCTGCTTTATTTTCTCTATCAGTATGCAGGAAAGAAATATAGAAAAGAAGCAGGGCATCTATCCTTCATGGCTTGGTATGATTTTTGTTTTGTCATAGCTTGTATAAGCTCTTAGGCTAACTATACAATATGCAGAATTCATGTATATGTTTTTTTCTTTTATAGACAGGTGAACAGATCCATGTTAGTCTCCCACTTTCGCAACAAGTTTCTAATGAGAGCAGGCTCTCCATGTCTGAATCTGTCTCTGAATTTTTTGATGCTCAAGAAGTGCTTCTGTCTGCAAGCTCATCAGAAAATGAGGTTAGGAAGAACAATCTTTACTCAGCAGTGTAATTCATATTTATAATAAATTTATGTTTATGTAACGTGAGCTTGAAGTACTGGATGCTTCATTTTAGATCATTCACATCTATTAACTGCTTTGTTGATGTCCTTCATAAACATGTATGTCTCAGCCAGTGTTTCATGTATGAGGACCATCATATCAGTTAATTTTATTGCAAATGTTTTTAAGTTAATATACTGTACATATTATTTGAACACTCTGAAATCCTAAATAAAATAAGAGCTATCATATCTGACCTGTAATACTGAGGACGACTACAAAATGGCGGCAAAAATGCAAGAATTTTTAAAATCTCTCTGTTGCTTTCGCTTTTGCTTTTAGCAGTTGTTGCGTTGTTGCTCTGCCAAGAGGGGGATTTACCACAGGTATGCGCACCTATCAATGTTTTATTTGAATGGGCAGAATACTTGCAGACAAACAGAGTGGACCTAAAAAAATAAAGATAAAAATAAGGAATCTGAATTTATCACAATAACATCTATTTCTTCAGTATAATAATAGTAATAATCAATGTTATTATTTGTTTTCTTCATTAGGCTTCTGATGATGAATCTTACATAAGTGATGTGAGCGACAATATATCCGAGGACAACACTAGTGTTGGAGACAATATTTCTCAGCAAAGTATGCGGTTTCTAGACTTTTAGAAAATAAATTTTATATAATTTATACAGAGGCAAACAAAGAGTCTCCACTCTGAGAGCTACTTTCAAATTGCTTCGAATTTACTTTATTAATTGCAGAAAATTACTTTTCTTTCCATTTTAATTCTGTGAGCTCTTTTTAATGCATGTTTTCTGTTAATTCATTTTTCTGCCTTTATCCTATGCTCTTTGCCATCACAAGATATTTTCAACCTCTTTTCATCTTAGTCGTCTTTCTTTTGGTCACTTCAGGGTATTGTATTGTTTTATGTGCATAATTCCCATCTTTGCTCTCTCTTGTTACTTTATTTTTATTTTCCAATTGACAAATTCTATATTTTCATTTTCTCGTGCAATAACGCTTGGAATATTGATTAAATTTAAATATATAATTTATTTAAATAATTACATTTGCTAATTGAGTGGGTGGCACGATGGCTCAGCAGTTAAGACGCTGGGCTTCTTGGGTGGATGATTGACAGCCTGGGTTCAAGACCCAAGCGTCATGTGATGAGGTTGAGCACCTGTCTTTGCCTAGCTCCTGCTCACCTAGCAGTTCAAAAGTATGTAAATGTGAGTTGATAGATACCATTTCAATAGGGAGAAAACAGCACTCCACAATGTCATGCTGGCCACATGTCTGAAGAAACGTCTTTGGATAGTGCTGACTCACAGCCTTGAAACAGACATGAGCGCCGCCCCTATAGTCAACAACGACTAGTGGAGTAAAATCCACAGGGAGCCTTTTCCTTTGCTAATTGAACGTACATACAAATATTTTTAACATTTAACATTTTACAAATGGAACTATAAACTGTAGAATTCCAACAACCCAGGATCTCTTAATTTTGTTGCTTATTTATAGCAATTTTGTTAAATATTACAATTTACAGCAATAAAAACAAATGCGAAATAAAAAAAGGAAAGACTGAAAAGAAAAAATTGAAGGTGCAAAAAAGAAAAAAGAAAAATTAAAGAAAAATAAATAAGAATGTAGTAAAGATAAAGTAATATATAAAGAAGTGACTTCCCCCTTCTTTACAAGTATAAACAATTTTAATCACTTATCTTCTTTTCATAACATACCATCTCTTCTTCCCATATCCCATCTGTTATCTATAAATAAATCCATAAAATCTCATTATTTCAGCTCTATCAGCAAAAGTATTTTTCCTTTAATATATATATATTCTTTAATATATCAATGCTTTTCAATATTTATATGTAGAAGATACATATATGTGTATATAAGGATATATATCTTTTTAATTTTTGCATTTTTATTCTGTTATATTTTTCTTAGTTTGTATTAATTTTTTTATCTTTGTGTTTTTAAACTTTAATAAAAATTATTAAAACTTCAAAGTTTTAATTACCCCTTTACTGTTTATTTCAGAAAGATTTTTTTAAAGTCATTAATATTGTATTTAAAACTTTATTTTGCTAAGGATTGAAGGAAATTTACCTGGTGCCGTAAAACATCACTCCAAATGTTCCTAATAGGTGAAAGGCAGTTAACAATAACAGTTTCCTAAAGTAATTAGAAAAATATGCAAACCCAGTGTCCTTTCAAAGATACCAACCATGATTTGAATAAGAACCCCACTCTCCCAGATTGCTAGATCTGTTGGAAACCACTGTCTTGAGGTCTTCTCATGAGGAGCAACTGTCTGGAGCACACATGGGCCGATCTCAAGTCCTCTCCTTGTCCGGAGAGGAATTATGAAAAGCTGGTCTACTCACCAGCTCTTCATTCTGGTGCAACCGTCTTCAGTTCAGCAATTCTTCCCTGGAAATCCAAGGTCCCTTAATTTTGTCACACTGAAAAAAATAAAGTTGAAGACTGAAGAAGTGATTAACATGACAATAAAACAGAATTCTATCCTTTGAGACCTAGTCAAGAGCAGGCCTGACCGCTAGGTAAAAATTCAGCAATAGACAAGCTTACAAGCAAATCAGATACCAAATCCTTCTTCCTTTTGATGAAAATGATAGTGCCCCTTAGTGGCTGAAATGTATTTTGTATTTACATTTGAAAGCTGTACTCTGTGTATAAAAAATTAGTACTCAGCTACTTGGGGGAATTAGTACTCAGCTACAAAAAAATATTTGGGGAAATAAACAATAGTAATATGTGAACAATTTCCCTTATTGCATTTATTATTTGAAAAGATATAATTAGAGTTTTTAAAGCTATTCCAATTATTTTACAGAAAATGGGCCTGGGAGAAAAAATAAACCATCTTTCTTCCTCTTTTTTCATGCTTCTTTTCTGAAACTCATATTTCTGCCTCTGTCAGCAAGTAGTTGATTGAATTATATGCAAAAGTACAGTAACATTAAAAAAAAATCCTTTCAAAAAAAGAGATTGCCTTCTTTTAAAAATAATTAAAAGAGAAGAAAAATCTGTTTGGAAAATAAATTAATGGGAATAGAAAAGCAAAAGTGGGAATGAATGCATAGATATAATTCTGTAATTCCATCTGTCGAGGAAGCTATGGAGAAAAAAAACTAAAGTGGTAAAAAGGCAAGCAATGAAAGATTAAACAAATATGTACCCCTGCGACTTACTTTGCTGTTTGAATATTTCAAGGTAAGCAGCTTATTCCATCTTTGTTTCTGTAACAGTTTGTTATGTACACATGACAAAGCAAAGGAAAATCTAGGTAAAGCCATGGTAAGGCATTGTGTGGTTTTATAAAGAAAATAATGATACCTGGATGCCTTGTAAAATTCTATGCACAATAAAAGCTTCATTTGGGACGATTCTTAATCCTTTTATTGATTTTAAATGTGTTTTTTAAGGTTTTTGTCTGTCACTCAGGATTTAGTCAGATACAAGGAAGGACTATGGGCTCAATTGTTGTAACAAATTCAAAAAAGTGGTACTAACCCCACAGTGAATTTCTGAATCCATGACATCAGGAGACAATATGACTTTAGTGGTACATTTGGTTAGTTGATTTTAAATAAGCAAACAAATCGTGGCCCCAAATAAGGAGATTCCTTACTGTAGTCTACAGACTTTGTTGCAGACTAATGTAACATAATTAAAATTCAAACATAGTACAGGTATTCCTACCACAGTTGGGATCTATGACTTGGTTGTTAAGCAAAGCAGTTATGAAGTAAAAATCATGAGATTGCAGGCATGCTTATAATTTTACTTCAGTTTTCTCCTTTGCTCCTTCAGCTGAACTAGGTTTATTTTTCCTCTTTCTCTCTGAGGACATCTTAGTATGGGCTAAATAATTAAGAGAAAATTAAAAGAGAGATTCTGCAAAAGTCATAAATGTGAAGACTGGATGTTAAAGCTGTTTTTTTAGCACTATTGTAACTTTGAAAAGTCACTAAATAAATCAGTGACTGTGAGATCTATAGTTTTATGTAATATCATGCCATATACATGCATACACACCCGCTGCACACACATAAACATATACTCACTATATGTATATATGTATATATCAGCATGTTGTATAGGTTTCATGATATTCTGTTCTGTTTCTCTTTTAGTAATGAATGGGGAGCTAACAGGAGGTGCTTTCAGAAATGGACGAAGGACATGTCTTCCAACACCTTCCCCTGATACTAGTAATATAAATCTGTGGAACATTTTGAGAAATAATATTGGGAAGGACCTTTCCAAAGTATCAATGCCTGTAGAGCTCAATGAGCCTTTGAATACTTTGCAACATCTTTGCGAGGAACTGGAATATAGTGAACTTTTGGACAAAGCTGCTGAAAGCGATGATCCCTATGAACGTATGGTAATGGGCCTGATTATGGAACATATCCTGGTGTTCCATAATGTGTTCCTTCTTTCTTAGACCTCTTGATATTTTGCATTCTCTAAAAAAGGAATGATGTTGGCACAATGAGGGCCTCTAGTTTTTACAAAAAGACCATTTGTTTGCCTATAAAAATGAATTTTGTAATATACTTAAAAATTCCAAAATAGCCTGCCCATCTCTTATTCTGTCTGAGAATCATAAAATAGGTTCTGACAGGAAGAGGGTATTGGCAATGTTTATATTGCAAAGTCTTGCCCAAGTACCTTTCACTGCATTGCATTCTATGAGAATGACAGATACATACATACATACATACATACATACATACATACATACATACATACTCAATTATGGTTTGCATAGGAAAAAGTCCATTATATTTATATTTATACATGAATGATGCTCCATCTTCTGTGTCTGGGAAATATACCCAAATTATTGTGAGCTGAATCTCTATAAAGACTTTTAACTATGATATATTTTCAAAGGTAAAGAAATATTTTAATTACACAGGATACATCCATTGTTTTTTTTTTCCTTATTGCAATACTGCCTTTTAAAAAAGTAGTAGATTTTTGTTAGCAACTTTTTTTATAGAAGTGATTAAATACTAATGTGGGAGAAATTCACTTAGGAAGGTGTACGTTTCTGATCTGGAAATACAAGAATGGAAGAGTTATTGCAGGATATTCCTCCCATATGCACAGTATATATGAATGAAAAGTTTACTACAGTCAACAACTACATTTTTCTCCCTGAAATGATCTGTAGCTCTTTCTATCATCTGTTCAGTTATATCAGACCCTCAGACATATCTACTAAGAGTTCAGTTTGGAACATTTATTTGGAGTTTCTGGTTCCCAGGCAACTGAGAAGAGAACTTGAAATTGGGAAATTGGTTTGTTCTCAAAGCAATAAAATAGTTTATATTGTGATCCTATTTGGAAGGAATAGAAAGCACTGCTTCCATAAATCCTGAAGCTAAAACATCCAACTCTCTCCCTTCCTTCTGGTTTGCCTCATCTTCTGCACCTCATAATAAAGCCGTGATTCCCCACAACAAATAAATATGGCCTCTGTAGGTACTTCAGATGCAGATTCCTATCTTGACTTTCCTCTTGTTTTTCCACGGAACCTTGTATATTTGTAAGTGCATTATTACATTATATATAATATTATACAGAAGCAGATATACAACATAGATTCAGTGTCCATCCTGTCTTCCCCTTAAGTCTTCAAGATGTAACATTCTTCCATTTTTCTTTCCTGCATTGAAAAGCTTTTGTGTCTAATAATAGAGCATTAGTCTGGCATTTCTTTCTGTTTTGATTTAGATCTTTGCTACACTCCGGAAGCAAATGAGAATTAAATAATATAAAAAAATACAACACATTTTTACTGTAAACAGGACAAAGGTGCAACCTTAGAAAAGAACATGTTTGATTATACAGTTGCTACATGTGTCAAGCCAGTCTCTTTCAGAATTGTTTTCTTAAATATTGTTTTGTTGTTCTAATTAGGCCCTTATTGCTGCCTTTGCAACTTCAGGATATGCTTCCACTTACTACAGAGCAGGAAGCAAGCCTTTTAACCCTCTCCTTGGTGAGACTTACGAGTGTATCAGGGAAGACAAGGGATTTCGATTTTTCTCAGAGCAGGTATGAACAGCTATTATAAAGCTATTTATTTATTTATTTATTTATTTATTTATTTATGAGACTTATATACCGCTTTAAGTGCAAGCACCAGTAAGCAATGTATATATATATTTACATTGCCCCCAACAATCTGGGTCCTCATTTTACCTAATCCGGAAGGATGGAAGGCTGAGTCAACCTTGAGCCGGTGAGATTTGAACCGCTGACCTGCTGAACACAGTCAGCTAAAGTGGCCTGCAGTACTGCACTCTAACTGCTGCGCCATCTCGGCGCATATTGTTGTATGACTTTAATTTCTGGGAGGAGGGAGAGTTATTCCTCTTGATTTATGAAGTGTTGTTGAGAAGATCCTCAGACTTGTTTTAAAACATTATTTGTTTTTGCAGCATTAGCTAAAATTCAGCATTGCAGAGTTCAGCTTTGCATTCATGTTCTTTGCATGGTTGCGTAGATTTTTTTTTCAAAGTGTGATGAATATAAAAAATCTTGTGTAGATTTTGTATGTATAATTACTTGTATGTAATTTTTTTCCAGGTTAGCCATCACCCACCCATTTCTGCCTGTCACTGTGAATCAAAGAATTTTGTGTTTTGGCAAGGTATATATTTTAGTTACAAGTGGATGAATCAAATTTCAGTTAAAAAAAAAAGAAAATTAGATTTTATACAATTCACTTGTTGAAATTTAGCTTGAACAGTTACAATAATGTTATTTATTTATTTATTATATATTTACATTGAGAAATTAGAAATCAGCAGTTTTCTGCCTCTGGATTAGCCTATTGCTCTGATTAGAACAAGATATATTAGCTTATATGATACGTGAGATGAATAAATGTGTATAGCATTTTGCATCTTTATAAATATTTCTTCTCTTCAGATATTAGATGGAAAAACAAATTCTGGGGGAAATCGATGGAAATACTGCCAATTGGAACTCTGAATGTGACACTTCCTAAGTAAGTGCTTTTAGTCTCTATGCCTTTTTTTTTTTACTGTTAAACTGTTACTGTTAACAGCACGTTATTGTATAACATGACAGATACAAAATCTGAAAATGTGCAAAATGGAATAGGATCTGTTTTTAGGCAGCAGTAAGAAAGCTGGGATTCCTGAAGAACCAGATCCCTGTGTCCTAGCAATAACAATTAATATGGAAATGAATTCTGGTTGAGCTAGTGTGAAAAGGTACTGCTGTTGATGATCATTTCTTGAATGGATGGTGTTTTGATCCTTACGAAGGGTTGCCCGGCACAACTCGAGAACAGTGAAATCATTCAGATTTTCCTTTGTTATTTTCTTTAAAAGGGTAGATATATTTTAATAATTGAAAATGAAATATGTCCCTGTACAAACTGAAGAGTGTTGGGAAAGTGGAGGAAACCTGGTGCATTTTTTAGTTTTACTGTTCTTTAGTATGTTTATCCTGAAGCATGTTGCAGTTGATCAGCTGATGCCAACATCTTATAATTCAGCTTGCTTCACATAGAACTAATGCAATACGCAAACGGAACAATAAACTGAAAAAAATGACTCAGATTTCTCATCAGTATACAGCCCACTGTATAGCTTTAGACCAGGGCTTTTCAACTGGTGGTACCCATACCACTGATACATTTTGGCAACTGGCAGGTGGTACGTGACTATCCTAAACAAGTGCAGCTGGAGAGGGGAATGAGCTGAAGCAGCAGCAGCACCGCACAAGCCTGAGGGAGAGACACCTGGAGCTGCAGGGCTGATGGAGCTCAGCAGAAGCCCCAGGATCAGTGCCAGGTTCCAGCTGATTGGCACTTCCAGAAGCAGCGTGTAGTTGGAGGTGCACTGAAGAGAAAAGGAGGAGGGAGGGGAAGAGAGGAGAGGATATAAAAGGAGGTTTTGGTGGGAAAGGGAGAGGGGAAAAAAAGACAATGCAGGAAAAGAGAAGGGGATGGAAAAGTGCAGCCTTGAGGAGAGGAATCAGCTGGAGGTGCATGAAAGAGAAAAATGGGGGGAGAGGATATAAAGGGAGGTCGTTTTGGCGGGAGAGAAAAAAAAGACAACGGGGAAAGAGAAGGGGACAGAGAAGAAGCTGTGGAAGGAGAGCCCAGCAGGCAGGGAGGAAAAAGAGAGAGGAGAGGGAGAGAGGAAGAAGGGCCGACCAGCTATCTGACCACCAAGGTAGTGGCGCATATTAATAAATATAGATAAATTCATCATACATTTGTCAGTACAAAGGGAAAGTGATTCAACAAAGGAACCGCCACTGAAGAAATTAAAACTGGTACTATTTTCCTTTTTTTATGGTTTGAAACGTATTAGATTATAGAATAAAATATAAAAATACAAAAGCAAATAGTAGGACACAGTGGGGAGGAAGAAAGGAGGAAAAAATGAGGGGGAGAAGGGAAAAAGAAAAGGCATTGACTTCCGACTTTCTCTATTGCAGTAGAGGGAAGCATTAACATCGAACCTCAACTTTTTACTTTTCCATAATAATGTAAACTAGCCATTTCTATAACAACAAATGAATCTAATCAATAAAACCCACCCACCCCCTTTTTTTTAGTCATCAGGTTTTTGACACCTTGCTAAGCACTGGTAGTACTCGAAATATTGTCATGTCCTAAAAGTGGTACAGTCATTGAAAAGGTTGAAAAGTCCTGCTTTACACAACTGACATTTTAATTTATTTTTAAATTTTTTTATTAGATTTATATCTTGCCTTTTGTTCGGGAACGAAATAGGTACCCTGCCTTTTTTTCCACAACAACTCTAGGTGATAGGCTGTGTTGTGAGAAAGTGGCTTCAAATCACTCAGTCAACGTCTGCAGCTTACAAGGAGATATAATCTGGATCTCTCTAATTACAGTCCAGAACTTTAATCATTTACAACACTGGCTGTCTTTGTCTCAGTCTAATCTCTGTCAGTGGCTTACATTAACTTTTACCAGAAGTATTTTTTGAACTGCATACAGTACAAGCAATAGAATTATCAGAGACAATAATTGGTGTGAGGGAGTTGGCAGACCTGCAAGCTGCAAGTGGATGCATTCATGTTAACCATTTTTTTTTTTTTTGTGATTAACTCTATCTTGTGAATGTAAGCGTTGTCTTCTCTAGAACAGGGCTTTTCAACCTTTTCACCCATTGTACCACTTTTAGGATATGGCAACATCCGAGTACCACCAGTCGCCTAGCAAGGTGTCAAAAACTTGATGACCCCCCCAAAAGGAAAAAAGTGATAAAGTACAGGTAGTCCTCAACTTACAACAGTTTGCTTAGTGACTGTTCTTAGTTACAATGGCACTGAAAAAAGTGCCCCTCAAGACACAGCCGAGCAAGACACCTGCCTGCCCGCCCGGCGGCGCTCTTCCTCCTGTCCGAGGTTTTCATTGTTGTGAACATTTCTGTTGAGGATTGGCAGCAGGGGTGGGGTGGGGGATGTTTGGTTTTTATTCCCCTCCCCGTCTGCTGAGTGGTTGCAGCAGCTTTTGGTCACTTCACATGACACTGGAACACTGTGATCATCATAAATATGAATCAGTTGCCATGCATCTGAATGTAAATCACAAGACCCTGGAGAGTCTGCAACATTCCAGCTGATTGGCGCTTCTTCTGGGCTCAGCAGAAGCATCAGGATCAGTGTCGAGCTCCATCTGGAGCCTGGTGCTGATCCTGGCGCTTCCGTTGAGCACTGACAGCCCTGCAGCTCCAGCCATCTCTCACTCAGGCTTGTGCGGTGCTGCCACCCGTTCAGCTCATTCCCCTCCCCCGCTACCACTTTTCTAGGATGGTCGCATACCACCTGCCAGGTGCCAATGTACCACAGGTGGTACCCATACCACTGGTTGAAAAGCCCTGCTCTAGAAGAGTATAAAAAGGTTTTTTTTAAATTTTCTATTATGTGGATGTTAGTGCCTCCATTATCAGAAGTACCCTGTAAAGCATGATTTCAGGAAAATATCTGACAATCAAAATTATCATTTAAAAATGCTGTAATGTTGCGCAGAGCTTTTATGGAAAAAAAAAAAGACAGTGGAAGTATTCAGCTTCAGTAGAGAGAAATCCAAACACCTGATGGACAAGCTTTTTAAATCTGCCAAAGCAGGCGTATTCTTATTATTACCATGCCAGACTGTGAGATGACTTTCCAGATACTTGTCAGGCCTGTTGTTAACAGTGTTTAAGTCTTGTTACTCCCCCAGATTTTTTGGTAGCTTTAGGAATCAGTGTGATGTAATTGCTGATGGATATAGACTTAAGTTTGATTAATGTTGCATTACACTTTTATGGCGATGCAAAAATTGATTGTAAAAATTGTTGTGGATATAAAGATAGAGAAAAAGTAGAATATAAATGTTTAAATGATTGAAGAGGTACATCTTTTCCTTCTTTGTGAGTTGTTCTTAATATTGGAAATGTAGTAAGATTTATTTGCACGTGAGCTTGGAATGGTTTTAAAAAAGGTAATTCTGAAATGTATTACTCTTCCTTTTCTTTCTAGATACGGTGATTGCTATGTTTGGAACAAAGTTACTACTTGCATACATAACATCCTGAGTGGAAGGAGATGGATAGAACATTATGGAGAAGTAACAATCAGAAATACAAAAAGCAGTGTCTGTATTTGTAAGCTCACATTTATCAAGGTAGTTTTACTGTGATTATCATCGTGAATGGTGAAGGGGCTACGCATTCTGTCAATGACCTATTCACAGAAATGTCTGGAAATGCACTGAGTATGCACACCAGCTTCTATAGGCTTCTGTTTCAGTGGGGAGAACAGTTAATAGTCCTTTCAATTAGCTGTCACAGATTGTGTAAATTTAGTGGCAACTTCCCTAGTTGTGGCTGGATTCCTAACCAAGAATGCTATTTTCTTTTTTGAGCTCCAGACAGGAAAAAAATCTGCCCTACAAAATGCTTCCACTTGTCAAGAAGACTAAAGTATTTTTGAGTAGGATATAAAATAATCTTACTTTTACAGCCTTTTCCATTATCCCAGCAATCACCTTTTTATGATCTTCTACAGAATTGGAGTAGCCTGTGGAAGCAGACCTTCATATTACAATCCCCTTTTAAATTAGAAGTCTGCCATAACTCAGAGCACTCACATATACGATGTGTTGGGTCATAAACAAGATGACATATTTTTTTCTCATGGGATTGCGTGTGATGAATCAGAGCAGTTATTGAGCACTCTTAGTAAGGAATTGAGGGTTGCATTCTTGCTGTTGATTGATGGCAGAGATACTCTTGATGTTAGATGATTTGTTTTCCATTTAATAAAACCAAATATTTTGTTAACATTTTTAGGTGAATTACTGGAATTCTAATGTAAATGAAGTTCAAGGTATTGTCATGGACCAAGAAGGAAAAGTGGTACATCGCCTTTTTGGGAAATGGCATGAAGGATTATATTGTGGAATTGCACCTTCAGCAAAATGTATATGGAGGCCTGGTAATACATGACATTTATATAATTCTAAACATAACTAAGCCAGTAATAAAGAAAGGAGTAGAATCTGTACTATGGACGCAGGGATTTCATCTCAGTATGCCAGATATGATAGCTAGGAACATTAATTGTAGCTTAGAAACTGTAAGTGTAAGTCCATGATGAAATCTAAATCAAACTCGGATTATTTAGAAAGCTGTGTGTTCCATAATACGTTCTCAGATCAAGCAGGAATAATGCAAAATGCTACAAGTTGTTAAATAATATAAGTTGGGTGAAGAGAGATATAATATTTTGAGCATGAGGGTAAATGATTAATGCCGCTGTTGCCATTAAAATGAATGTGCATTTTTCAGTATTGTACACATTTTTTATATTCTTCAAGCTGAACAAAAAAAAAGCAGTTCCTCTGAAAAAAGAAATGGTCACTTACTTAATCAATTAGACTTAGTGGTTAGGACAAGATTACAGTCAGTTTTTCCCCGTATTTGAATGATGAATTTTGTGAAACTGAACGTTAAAAAAATAAAGAACGTTGGAAGAGAAAGTAAAAACAATGTAGTGGATTTTATGGAGTACTTCTATTGATGGAGAAAAAAAATAGGATTCTTTGATCAAGGATACAAGTTGTATCTTCTGAACTAAAGCTTGAGTTTTTCTAACTTTTCAAAATTAGTAGCTATGAGGCAGGTCCTAGTTCTCCTATAATTCAAATGCTGGTTTTCTGATTTAACAAAAGTCATATGAGAACTAGTTGAGAATTTGAATTTTCTTTATTCTTTTAAATCTTAAAGTTTCCAGGTGGACCACAATACAGATAGTCCTCTTTTAGCAACTGCCTTGGATAGCAACCATTTGTAAATATGACTATAATTAATGATAATAAAAAAATTCATTTTATGACCCATGTGGACAACAAAAACCTTTAGTGTGAAATTGATTAAGGTCTGGTCAGTTTCAGACAGCAGCTGCCAGGTGGTTGGAGGCAACAGAAGACCACATAAAAGGTCTATTCAGAACTGCTTCCTTTCTGTAAAATTAGATCATCCTGTATGCTCATGCCAAGCCAGGATGTTAAGGGTTCCCCACATATTGATTTATTAAATTGATACGCTGTCATCTCCCCTAAACTCATATATTAAGTGAGAGAATGGGCATTCAAAACAGTGTTTTTCACAAGATGGCGTTGTTGGGATCTTTTCAGAAAACTGCCAGAACTGACGATTTTCATAAGGTCCTTGCTTCATAATGTTGCATTCTGGTTTTATCTACTTGTACATGCCCATGATTCAGCCTGATTCAGCAATATAAAAATAGAAGGTAAATAAAAAAAAACAGAATAACAGAGTTGGAAGGAACCCTGGAGATCCTCCAGTCCAACCCTCAACCAAGGAGGAGACCCTATACCATTTCAGAAAATGGTTGTTCAGTCTCCTTATAGTGTTGCAGCACCCACAACTTCTGGAGTCAAGCCATTCCACTGATTAATTGTTCTCACTGTCAGGATATTCCTCCTTTGTTCTAGATTGGTTCTCTCCTTGATTAGTTCCCACCCATTGCTTCTTGTGTTTCCACCCATTGCTTCTTGTGCATAAAGCATAATACGAATGCCCGTGATGTGCCTCAGTGATGTGGAAGGCCAACTTTCAGTAGTGTCTGTAAGACCATTGAAGGCCTAAGTATCCATCTTCTCTGGAATCTTTCAGGATGATCTTTCTTCCTGAAGTAATTTTGTTCTCCTTGCACAAAGAAGCATGAAGTGATTGTGTCAGACCATTTCATGCCTTTCTGGGTAAGAGGGATTTTATGGGACAAGGTTTGGGAAAGCACATGGGGATCCTAGCCAAGTAGAACATATTTTGACAAAAACACGAGCAGTGCACCATCATCCATATCATCGCTATAGCAGGTGGAATAATGTCTTCACACAAAACCATTGTTTAGAGCAGCGGTTCTCAACCTATGGATCGCGACCCCAATTGGGGTCGATCGACCATTTCACGGGGGTCGCCAAGCAAGGCTGTCTGCCATTTTTTTCCCCTTTTCTGGCGGGTGCCTTACCTCCCTTGGGCTGGGCTAGCTGGTGGCCCAGCTGGTGGTCGGCCTGCTCCATCTCTGCTGCTTGCCAGCTACGCCTCGGCTGGCGCAGGGTGTGGCACCACGCATGTGTGGTGCTCCCGGGCAGGGAAAGACCTCGACTTATGACCGATTGGGTAGTCCTCTACTTATGACCGGTTTAGTCCTTGACTTACAACTGGTTTAGTCCTTGACTTACAACCAGTTGGGGGTCGCAGCATTAAAAAGGTTGAGAACCACTGGTTTAGAGAGCTTTGAGAGTTGGCAGTGCTGCATATAAGGTGTTTAATGAAGAGCAAGGACAAGTATTTTCTTCATCGTGTAGACCTAGTGTTTATTCACAGGGGTTAATTACTATCTTTATTTTATTTTTTAATACAGGTTCCATGCCAACAAATTATGAGCATTACTATGGCTTCACAAGGTTTGCCATTGAGTTGAATGAGTTAGATCCTGCACTGAAAGACCTTCTTCCAAAAACAGATGCTCGATTCAGGCCAGATCAAAGGCAAGAAGCACACGCTTTTTTCCCTTTTTTTAAAAAATGGCTACGGCTGCTTTTGACTAAATATTATAAAGAACATTAATGTTAAAAAATTCATCTGAAATGTGGATCGCTGCTGCTCAGGGAAAGCTTGCACCAGACAATTTGAGAAGTGTTTAAAATTTTTAATATGTGAACTTACAAACAGTGCAGCAGACAGGGATCACCTGAAAAGAGGTTTCCCTTCCTATTTTGTTCCCCTTCCCACCTCATAAATACTTTTTGTAATATACTATCTGCATTAATATGCAACTGCATATTGTAGAAAAAAGGAAGGGAGACTGTTTCTCCAAAACCATAGAGTTTAATCATATATATTTGTGCTGATTCAATCAAAATTTGTTTACTTGAATGACAGCGCTATCAACTTTATCTAATCTGCATTGTATAGAACATGTGATTTAGGTGCTTCCTGAAGTTTAGGATTTCTGGATTTTGTTGTTGCATTATTTAAAGGTTGGTATATATCTACTGAAAGATCTAATTCTTAACTATAGGTACTTGGAAGATGGAAATTTAGAAGCAGCAGCAACAGAAAAACAAAGAATTGAAGAACTCCAGAGATGCCGGAGACGTTATTTAGAGGAAAATAATATGGAACATGTACCAAAATTTTTTAAGTAAGTAATCTCTCTCTCTGTGATTCTTGTACAAACAGAATGGGGCTATATAATGGTGTAAAAATATTAATAAAAATACTAATGTTTTTGGCATTAGAAATTGTCTTGTATTATGTAAAATCTGCATGTTTCTTATTGTAAATTGAATTATTTTCAAAAATGTTTCAAAACACAGGGAGAAAATTGGTTGTAGCCTAGGGTCTTATTCCTCAAATAGGTTTGACTCAAAGATGATGGTTTTTGTGAAACTTGATTTAAATAGTGAGAAATCAGTTTTATTTGTAATATGTAGTCATTGTATTATTCTTGAAATTCAGAGATCTAACATTGTTTGATCCTCACATTGGTGTTTTATGCATGCGCTATCTTTCATAAATTTTCCCCTAGCTAGATAAAGAGAATTGTCCAAGCAAATAAGTGTACAGTATGTGCAGTTCCTCTCTTTTATGTAACGTTGTGAACTTAGAAAAACAAAAATCTGCCAAGTACGTAAGAGTAAAATTCAATCTCTTTTCTCCTTCTCTGCCAAATAATTATTTTATTTATAGTCTAATCCCTCTTCGGATGGAGTAATTCCTTCTGTGTATACAACAATATGAAGTGGTGTCCCCAGACTGAAGCAGGTATAAAAGATAAAATTTGTAAATTAGAGGACGCAGATTATAGAGTTATGTATTTCCAGATAGAGCTGAGGTCTTATAACGAGTAGCAGAAATGAGTTGATTCCAAGACTCTATCAAAACCTATTTCTTCTTTGTCTATAATAACTGTTTATATTTCCTCTTGAAGAGCATCAGAGCAGAGCAGCAACTCATCCTGTGTTGAATAAGAAAGACGATCATTTTTATATTCTTTAAAGCAGGAAATCAGTTGTTTCTTGGCTGCATGGCAGTTGCTATCAAATCAGGGTTGGTTAGAAGAGCCTGTTTCCTGTTAACACCAGATGGAGGAGTAGAGAAATTGGCTGAAGAACCTGAACTAGTTAAGTGTAAGATTTTCCTCCCCTCATCCCCTGTGATAGGCTCTGAGATTATAAAACTGATGAAACAGCTGAAATTGAACAAAGCTCCAGAATACGAGATCATTTTAGCGGAGGACATTCAAAACAATTTAGATTGGTGGGTACCCATTTTGGCTTTCCTATTCACCTATATTGATAAATGTGGTAAGGTCTCTGATGATTGGGGCCTACTTTTGGCGATTTCAATCTACAAAAAAGAGAAGTAGAGATTATTGGCCCTTTAGCCAATTAGTAAATTATATGCTAGCATTTGTACAACAAGCTCCTGGATTGGGTTGTAATTGAGAATATCTTGGCTGATGAGCAGACAGGCTTCGGAGAAAGCCGCTCATACACTCTCTTATAGACACATTGAATAGCCCATCTCTTGATCTGCCAATATTGGGAAGTGGAATATTTCTGTTCTTTTATATGCAGATGTTGCTGCACTGTTTCCTTAGACACAGATTATCTGAGGACCACTGATAATGTTACCTACTTTGGGTAATGAAACATCTGCAAGAAAACAAGATCTCAGACACAGATTGGCCTAAAACTGGCACTTTATAAACTTGGTGGGCAACTGTCAAGAAGAACAGCTAGAAATTAAGTACTCCAAAATCAGAATCATGTTTTTTGCTAAGGCACATGTCTGGCAGCTAAATAATTATCTAACAGAGTAGGTCTTAAATATCTGGGGATTATTTTCCATACTACAGGCAACCAGAAATTTCACATCGATTATGTTACCCTAAATGCACAAAAATCCTCTTTGGCTTTATATGTTTTTTATTTCTCCAAAGGGTCTCAGTATGTATCTACAGCGATTAAAATATCTTCAGCTAAGATCCAAGCCCAGCAACTTTTTGGAGTTTAGTTGGGCCCTTAAAGGGCATTCCTTTGTCTTGAAAGAGTTCAAACCAAGTTTTTGATTCTTTTTTAAGTAGCCGATTGTGTGACAAATGTGTGTTTCACAGTAAAGCTGGCCTATTTAAAATGATTGTGCATTAGCTGATCTCAAACAAGGGGCCATTGATTTAGAGTTGTGGGTTGATTTATAAGCTCTATCTAGAAACAACTTTTTGAGCCGCTCCATATATCTTCTTCAGTCAGCCAAATAACTTAGTTGCATAACAGTTCCAAAATTTAGAAGGGCTTTATCCCTGGGCTAGAATCAGCGCCCGCACAACAGCGGTTACTGAAGGGACATGCTGAAGGATCCCTTTTGAGCAAAGATGTATCCACATGGTGGAGAAATAATTGAAATGCTGGAACATGATACTCTGTATTATCCCTTCTACCCAGACACTGACCAAGAATTATTATTTCCATTCTTTACTAAATATCCTATTCATTTTGACTTGTTTTATATTATTATTATTATTATTATTATTTATTAGGTCAATGTGATTTGACATTTTTGACCATAGCTAAGTAACATTCTACAGCTTGTACAGTAATATCTCTTCTAATCCTTCTTAGATATTTTAGAACAATTATTTTTTCTTTTTTTTAATCCTAATTGTGTTTTTCTTCTTTTATTTGTTGATTGTTGATTTATGCTTAAATAAAATGGATTATTTTATTGCAATTTCATTTTTCAGAAGGTTTCCTCAACAAGTAAATTAGATTGAAGTATGCTTTTATTCTCTTAAACAGTATTTCTGAATTTATTTTAACCAATAACTTTTTTAATTTTGCAGAAAAGTTATTGAAGCCAATCAGAGAGAAGCATGGGTTTCTAATGACACCTATTGGGAACTCCGAAAGGATCCTGGCTTTAGTAAAATAGAAACACTCAAACTCTGGTAAATTGAGAATGTAGATATAGCAACATAAGTCTTTTTTTTTTTTTTTTAAAGAAACAAACCACTATGCACAACATGTTTCTTATGGCTGATGGTGATTTGTGGGTCTGCAGGAAACCTTCCTTTGCTTTTACATTCAATTTATAATAGACTTCCAAAAGTGCATTAGCCCAGACTCTGAACTTTTCTGTGATCATTAAATTGAAAAGAGGGGAGGAAAATGCCCACACCCTTTATCTATTGAGATACTGGAAGTGCAGCATAAAAGAAGCATGATTTGGCCAAAGATGCTTTGTAGAGTATCTGGTGCTTTAAATAAACATGAAGAATTCAACAATAAAACCTTGTTATAACTAAGTTCTATAATGTCTACACATGTAGTTATTGAATCTTGATTCACATTCGAACACTTGTTCATTTCTAGAGTCGGATTGTTTTTTGATGTGTTGTGCTTGGACTGGCTCTATCAAAAACAACATAGTGCTTTTCTAGATGCTCTTCCCATTCATATGCCATTTTTCATGCCTTAAAAACAATGTCAAGTTGTACATTGTTATTTTAAAATATGTATTATTTGTCATTTCTCAAGGGCAGATTTTTAAAGCAGGATTTTTGTTGATATTTTAAATAATGGATAAAGTGTATTATTGATGGAAAATAAACTGTAATTGTCAAGGAAAAGGATGATCTGGAAATGTTTTATCTTTGCAGGTTGTGTTTCTATATAGACAGGTTGAAAGGAAACTGGCTAATTTTATAATGACCTTGGAAAGTTAATCTAAGTTCATATTCTCAATGTCTAATGCTGTGATAAACATACCATCTCTTTTCATGACTTCATTCTGTCTCATTTTCATAACCCTTTATAGAATTAAAATTCCCTAAAACTGTGCATGAATGCTAAGCACATCTTTTAAATTAGAAAAGCATCCTGCAGGGATATGATCATCCTGATAATCTATGTATTCATGCTTTCTTATGTACATTATATATTTTTGTTCTCACCTTTTGGGGAATTGTTGAGAGAAGTAATGTGATACAAGCTCTACTTTCTCAGTTGAATCTTGCTAATATCATTTTTATGCAAAATTATATTTTATTGCTTTTTCATAAAGCAATTATATTTTTGGATGAAGAAATGATCTAAATGGCTATTATGTAGCACATTTTGATGTATATGTGGAAAAAGCCTGGATGATGACTCCTTCAAAATTAAGTCTAGTTGGCTACCATGCTTTGCTAAAATCAATATATAAAGTGAAAATCTTAATGCTTTTTAATAGAAACTTGTCTTTCATTTATGTCCAGTGATTTAATTTATGTCCACTGGCAATAGAAAAGATTTTCTTGTATATATTTCAAAAATAACATTTCTGTATATTTATGGCACATAACTGTATTTTACTGATTGCATTTTATTGCTTTTCTGTAAAGGCACAGAGATGGCTATAATTTCCCGAAAGCAAATTAACTGTATTTGATTATGTATTCTATGTATTATTCATCCTATTTCTCCCCATGTCCATTTCTGATCAACAAGCACACCTGTCTAAGGGACAGCCTGTTTAAAAATAGGGCCTTAACTTCCTGAAGTTACTTCCAGCTGGGATGCACCATATTATCTGGACATTTATTATCTGGCTGCAATTTTGCTTTGAATTTCAGTTGTAACTTCGGATCTCTTGTGTTTGACCAAGGCTTAAAATATGCACGATATTCTAGTACGAGCCTCTGAAGTATAGAAGGAGAATGTTTTGTTTCCTGATATGCACATGTCATTTAAATGGAAAAAAAAGAATTAGAATGCACAGGATAAAATATGCATGGACTCTTACATGATCCTTATACAACAGCATGCCACTATCACATTGGGGATTTTTTTAATGTAATAATCCTTACAAATTATAGTTTAGTCAATCTTGGTAAAATTAGGAAGAAAGAATGCCTTACTATTCCATTTTTTACATTCAGTCTTCAGTAACCTCGCAGCATTTTGTTACTGTCTCTTCAAAGCCAGAATTATTAATTAAAAAGTTATAAATATTAACAAATCTTTAGTAAAATGTCAAGACCAGATGCTTAACAAAGTCAGTTATCAATCAAGCTATTTTTCACATGACATGCTCCTCCCAAATAACATGCTAAAGTTGATTAGTTTTAAGCTTGACTAGCATGTTATTTGAAGGCAGGCCATTTGGTTAGTTTATAATATTTATTTATTTATTTATTTTTATTTACTTGTATCCTGCCTTTATTATTTTTTACAAATAACTCAAGACAGTGAAAATATCCCTCACAAACCTTCCTCCTGTTTTTCCCACAAAGAACCCTGTGAGATGGATTGACCTGAGAAAGTAATTTGCCCAAGATCACCCAGCCTGCTTTCATGGTTAAGGCAGGACTAGAACTGACAGTCTCCTGCTTTCTAGCTTGGTGCCTTAACCACTAGACCAGTGGTTTTCAACCTTTTTAATGCTGTGACCCCCAACCAGTCGTAAGTTGAGGACTAAACCGGTCGTAAGTTGAGGACTAAACAGGTTGTAAGTCGAGGACTACCCAACCGGTCGTAAGTTGAGGACTTACCCTGCTCGGGAGTGCCGCACATGCGTGGTGCGTCCCCTGCGCCGGCCGAGGCGTAGCTGGCAAGCGGCAGAGACGGAGCAGGCCGACCACCGGCTGGGCCACCAACTGGCCCAGCCCAAGGGAGGTAAGGCACCCGCCGGAAAAGGGGAAAAAAATGGCGGACAGCCTTGGTTGGTGATCCCCGTGAAATGGTTGATCGACCCCAAATGGAGTCGCGACCCATAGGTTGAGAACCGCTGCACTAGACCAAACTGGCTCTACATATTGTACACACCTGGATAATCAGTTCATTTAGCAAACTAGCTGAGCCTGTTCTTGAACCCAGCCATTAAACTAAGTGGCTAAATTTCAAATGCTTACTTGTATTCATGTAACAAGTTTGAATCTATTGGACCAGGGGTTTCCAATCTGGGCAACTTAAGACTTGTGGACTTCAATTCCCAGAATTCCTCAGCCAGCCAAGCTGGTTAAGGAATTCTGGGAGTTGAAGTCCACAAGTCTTAAAGTTGCCAAGTTGGGGACCTCTGTATTGCACTACAGCTGTAATTCATCTGTATGTCCAAGCCATATTTTCTTTCAGGTAAATGCAAAATGTGGAAAAGGAATAAGAATTAGTAAGCAACCACGAGACATAGATTCGGAGTATATGAATGTAGCTATATTTACACCTCTAGAACTCACTATAACTTTTTTATCCTTGAAAACCGTTCTTACTTCCAGCACATTGGTACCCCACTTCAGAGGTTGCCTTTGTTTCTAAATCTCACCTACAAGTTCTTGAGGGTTTCATTAGCTCATTCGACCATGATATTCCTTCATTATCGATTTCATCTGAATCCATTTACTTTTCCTTCATACGTTGGTTTTACAGTTCAGTCTTCATTTGTTCTCTAGAGATCACTTCCTATCAGTACTAATTCATTCTATGGATATGTTTATAGTTATTTCACAGTTATTTGTTTCCATCCAAATTGCTCTGCATTTTCTTTCCTGCATTTATTTAAGTAGCTCCCTGTTGTTCTGTGACTGCATTCTTTGGAACTTTTTTCTCTATATGTATGTTAAATATTTTCCTCATTGCGATTCTCTTGCCTGAGTATTGCTCATTCACAGACTTTTGATTTCAACATTCATTTTAATACTTTCCTTCAGTACATGATCACAAACCTCTGTGACGTTCTGTAAAATATTTTTCCCCACTGTTTTAAGTTAGCTTACATATTCTCTTTTGTCAAGTCTACCCTCTTTTTTAGATTATTGGGTAATTAGTTTTCAATTTTATCCATACAGGGCATATTTTGTCTACCTGTAGTTATTCTACTTTTTTCATTTCTTTTTCTGCCATGTCTATTTTTTTTCTTAAGATCCATTTTTGAGACTACCTGTAATGATATGACATCTAACTTCTGAACTTTTCATCACTCTTGTGCCTTCAATAATTGTCAGTTTTTCATTTTAAAATAATCAAGGGAACACTATTTTAACGTGTGAAGAATAGTAGACTTATACTTACTGCTTACCAGTTATGCTTTTCATTCATTTTCCATGTGGCCAATGCATTTTTTTCTGTACTCTCTCGTCTTCTTTCTGTTCACTAATATCATTTAATAGTATTCTCCCTCTCCCAGATTGAACTTTTCAGAATATTGCACAATGTTTCTCAAAACTCATCCCTGATGCAATTCTGAACAGCTTATGGATTCCTATATTCATATGCATCTTTAATAATCTAGATAACATTGATTTCTAATTAATATTATAGCTCTTTCCTTCATAATTAAACCTCACTTTCACTTCCATACATGTTTTCATCAATTCCACTCTGTAGGATCAACTATCTTATCCTTTCAGAGACATAAAACTTCTTTTTTTTTTTTTTCATTTCATTTGTTAATTAATTTGCTCTCTCCTCTTAAATTTCAAAATACAAACTTTCATATGCCATAATGAACACCAGTTGGGCCCATAAATACTGATCTCTTCTGCCCATGATGGCTTTGGTCAAGCAAAGTTTTCACACCACACATTTTAGTCAGATAGTTAAAATGTAAATTTGGTTACCAGTTTAGTTTAGTTGTGAAACATTCCCTGCTAATGATGGGGGAAAACTAGGCAGTTTGGGTCCATTTTGACCCAAAGGTATCACAAATGCAACAAAACCCAGGTTTACTCCAAGCATATTCATATTATTCTACGCAAGACAGAACCCTAATCCAAACACTGCCTTGCAAATCTTGCAAACTGTTGCCTGCATGCCACCATCTAGAAAGTATATGTAGTGACCGAAATACACTCAAGATTGCTTTACTGGTTCTCTTAGTTTTCAAAGCAGGACACTGTGAAATATAAGAATCTAAACTACTTTAGGGAAAAGAAATCCATCCAGATCTCTTGTTTCGCTGAACTAGTTTCTTAAAAATCTGGATACTCTTGAAATCATTTCACTGTAGCACTTACCGTGTTTCCCTGAAAGTAAGCCCTACCCCCCAAAATAAGCCCTAGTTTTGGGGCGAGGCACACACTTAAAAATCAAGCTAGGGTGGGGGTGGAGGTGTGGAGCTGCTCCACGTGCCGTGCACCCACTTACCTTGCAGCCAGACCTCTCCTTGCCAGCCCACTTCTTCTGCAGCGTCCCCAGGGCCTGCATTTTGCAATCAGAGGTCTTTCCAGAAGGCCACTGCAGCCAAGAACAGAGCTATGGATTCAATCCATAGCTTGGTTCTGCAAGGCCACTGCAGCCGAGAACTGAGCTATGGATTCAATCCATAACTTGGTTCTGCAAGGCCTCTATAGCCGAGAACCAAGCTATGGATTAAATCCATATCTTGGTTGGATTGAATCCATAACTCGGTTCTTGGCTACAGGGGCCTTCCGGAAAGGTCTCTAACTGCAAAATGCAGGCCAGAGCTCCATTCTCAGCTGCAGAATGAAGCTGCTCCTTCGGCCAAAGAAAAAGTGGGCTGGCTGGGTGGGGCTGTCGGTGCATGGAAAAGACACCCCCACCCGAAAATAAGACCTGGTGCCTCTTTTGGAGGCAAAAAAAAAAAAAAAAAGATCGGGTCTTTTTTTGGGGGAAACAGTATTTTAAAATCTGCTTTTGTAAGGTTCTAAATTAAATCTGAAGCAAGTATATCATATTTAGTCATAACTGACAGTATAGTCCTACCATAAATTCATGCTAACTGTGTGAGCAAACTCACCACACTTATTCCTTCACCACACATCTTATAACAGATAAGTTTAGGTAAGAACTTTGTATATTTCATGCCATGAAAAATGTTTTCCCTTTCCACATTGCTTCATTCTGTTTGCAGAAACGTCGAAGCAGTTTTCTCATCAGTGGCCTATATATTCTAGGGCAATTCATGCTGGTGTGGAAATGTTCATGAGATGGAGACATTATATTTGATTATTTCATCTAACCTATAAAATACAATAGCTAGCGGTAATAAGTAAATTTGGCCTCTTAAGCATGAATCTTATATTTTTCAGAAAAAGAACTGTAAAAAGAAATACTTCCAAAAAGAAAAAAAAACCCTGCTAGTCAGAGTACATTTAAATCAGATAAAATATACATTGAAAAATGAAAACTATAGAATTAAGAAGAGGAATGTGAATGTAAATTATAGAATTAACTTAAGAAGGTGAATGTGAATTTCTGCAAAGGACTGAATTCATTCTCTCCCCTCAATCTATCCTCCCAGCCATCCCAATCAGCCATCCCATTATAATTCCATATTATAATGGAAAATTTGGGGAAATCTTCTGTAGATTGGGAACAGATAAGAATGAGGCTTTTTAGAATCTAGAAGCAGACTGAGATGCCCAGTTGTGTAACAGGAATCTGTCCCTTCCCTTTCTCTGCTCTGCATTGCTGATTCTTAGCATGCAGTCTCAGCATTAATTGAATGTAGACTTGGGCACATAGACTCAAAACATACTTGAATAATTATCACAGAACTATCATTATTAACTATTGTTACTTCTGTGCTTTTCTCTCTTTAGAAATGACAGTTCCAAAATGGGAGTTCAGTAGAAAAAAAAATAAAGTCAGGATTTGGAGGGACACTTAGGTGAAGTCCTTGATCAAATCAACTGATGTTTTGCAAGCTTCCCAAGTTAATTTCACCGTTCATAAATGATTGTGGTTGCCCAAAGGAACTTACGTTCTGGGCTGATACATACAATTAGAGAGTGAACCATAACCACATTCTGTCTACCAAGTCAACCCTATTAGATTTCAGTAAAATTTCTCTCAGCCATCTCTGTTTCTGGAATGGTGCCAATTTTGCAACTGGGTACTTAAGTCTGTAATATGTAATAACTTTAATGCAAGCAATGTATTATGAATAAGTGTTTTCCTATTTATTTCAACAGAACGTGACTTGTGTCCATGCCCAGGATTGTCCAGTTTTCATCCAAATCAACAAATGAATTGCTCCCCTATAAAATCATATATATTGTAAAGTTCTTTTTGTGACTTACCTTATTTATCAGGATTTTTAAAAGACAATATTGAGCTCCATATTTTTGACATTATATGTATTCGAATAAGAAACAGTATTACAAAACAGTATGCTACAATTTATCAATTGCTTTTTTTTCTTAAAGATAAAAAGCCTAATCCAGTAGATTATTAGTCTCCCTCAAATTGTTTTTAGCTAGAGCCATCCAGGCTGCATAAAGCTTGGTGCAAAAGAAAGATATTGTGATCTGGCACATCTAGAGCGAACCAAGTTGGAATCAGCAGCAGTAAATGTCAGTTAGAAAATTTGCAAATGTTGAAATTGAATTGAATGGAATTAGATCTTAATTACACCACCCTAGTGCAGTGTTTCCCAAACTTGACAATTTTAAGGCATGTGGACTTCAACTCCCAGAATTCCACAGCCAGCATTGCCGGCTGTGGAATTCTGGGAGTTGAAGTCCTCATGCCTTAAAATTGTCAAGTTTGGGAAACACTGCCCTAGTGCCATCAAATCATGGCTTTTCTCTGTTTCCTTTTGTAGCTTAATTCAAAGAAGTAATTGGTATTAGGAAGAATGCTTAGGGTCCTGAAGTATCAACAAGCCACAAGTCACTTTCAAAAGTATCTCCAAAGACAAAATACAGTAACAGTTCCTTTTTTGACTCACCATGATATTATACTATCAATTATTCAGAAGTGTGCCTCTTCTGATAAATGTCATGCAATGTACCATTTGTGAGAAAACTGACTTCTATACACACAGCACTTTTAAATCACTTTTGACGTTTCAGAAAGTTTTTTTTAGTGTTGCAATTTGATTGCAATCTAATATTGTAAAGATTGCAGTGATTCCCAATTTCTGCAGTGAACCCTATGACTGAAGAGATTTGAACCTTACTTTCAGCAATCCCAACTCAATATTGCCTTTATCCCACTACCCATGTTGAAGCTAAATACGAAGATTGAATATTGTGATACTTGCACAGGATCATTTTGCAAATCTCTGTGGTCTTTATCCTCAGCCTTGAATATGAAAACTCATGTATACCTTTATAAAAATGCCATTGAATAAAAAGACCATTGTTTTTAATAGACTAGCCTATTAAATGTCAATCTGCTTGTTAATCCCTCAGAATACTTAGATATTGCTGAATATGTTAGGTTCTAGATATCTTCTAGACAAAAGTTGTACCTCCTTGGAGCCAAATAAGGTAACGTAAGAAGGGAAGCCAAGAGAACAATATTTTTTATATTCTTACAGCATTGTAGATTTAAAAAATTAGGGGTACCATTACAATTAGCTAATTTGTTATTAACTCTGCACAAAAGACAGAATATATATTAGTATAGCATAAAAAATCACGTTTCTTTCTGCGATTGAAAAATCTGTATATTAATTATGTTTGGGAACATACAGTATCCAGTTCCTTGGAAGCTGGGGATAATTTTTTAAAATATATAAATGTATGCTCTAGCATGCGATAACCAGTGATTTAGAGAATTTTCACACAAGGCAAATTAAGCTTCTTGGCTCCCTTCAAAGGAAATAACATGGTTGGGATTTTAGAGCCTATGTTTATTTAACTTATTGGGATGCTGGTCTGTGGACTGGCACCCGTCCACGGCATGCCAGAAACCGGGCCACGCAAACAAAGCCCCATCCACGGGATGAGGCAGCATGCGAAACTACGCCTTCTCCGGTCTATGGAAAAACCTCTCTCCACGGAACCGGTCTCTGATACTCAAAGGTTTGGGAGCCGCTGCTGTAAAAAATTTAACCAGACAGTGATTAAAAATATGGCTAATTTTCAAAGATGAAATAGTCATGTAAACTGGTTTTTAGACGGAACAGTTGATATTAAAAAGCTGCGTGATCAGTTGTACTTTTTCTGAAGCCTCTCCCATTTCCTTGTGGACATCATAGTATTCAATGATTGGGAATTAAATATTGTTGCCTGTTCAGATTGCTTTGGACATCTTGGACAATAGTGAATACATTTGTGAATACTTTATAACCATCTATAATCTTGCAGCACTGTGTCTTACAGTGTGATTGGAACAAGTCTTCTTAATCAGTTTTGGTTAAACAAACATCCTAAAAAACATGACAGAGTTTTGGGAATAGTTTAGCCAGAACCATTTTTATCCATTCTTAGGACTTGGATGAAGCTCAGATCACATCGTATGTCACAAATAGAGGATTATAGATATTCAACATTTTAAAACCTACAGTATTTCTGTGCTGCTGCAATCAAAATAACATTTATTGGCTTATGTAAATAATTCTAAGTGGAACACAACCTTTCTCTTATCACTAGCAATGGTACGTTTTCATTGTATTTGATGGATAAAATGTTGCATTTCCTACAATTGTAAGAAATTTAAGAATACTTAAAAATTGCCTTAAAAATGAACTGAATTGCCCACGCTTATTGTGTGAGCATTATTGTATGAGCAAACTGATGTCATTTTGATCTTATGTGCACCTATTTCTTTCACATTAAAAAATATTCATTTACGTTCAATATGATTGATATGGCACATATTTGTGATTTACAAACTCAATGAGACATTCTACTGTATTGTGCTTGCCATTGATTGTATTGAATTCTACCAATTAATACTTTGAAAATCCCAACAAATAAAAAATTACAGTTGCTTAAAGGCTGCATTCATATCTAGTACTGAATAAGGCACATTTAATGTAAATTATGGATTATGGCTCTACTTGCATTATTAATTGGACATATTTAAGAAATAAGCAATGGAGTTTTTTCTCAAACAAAAACATACAATTTGTATTGTTTAAAACAATTTATTAAAGAATGACACATCTAATGAAAAAAGAGCAGTGATAACAAATTTTATCATTTCTGTGAATTAATCTTCAAACTATATTTTAAAAGGCCACAATTGAGAAGAAATTTAAACACAAAAAGTGAATAATATATAATGGCTATTATGTACAATTATATCATTTCTTTGAAGCTTTCAGATATTAGAAATACAAGTTTTGAGGTCCAAGCTGTAAGCATTTTCATGAAGACACCAAAATTCAGCCTCCTGCCTAAATTCAAGCAGTTTTATAGTTCATGAGTTATGAAATCTTAAAGAAATGCCAGCCTACATAAGTAACTTCAAGGAAATTAAGTCTACAGAGATCAGAAGCCATGCCCCTGGCTACTGAAATATGCAATCATTAAAAAAAAAGTTGGCAACTTTTCATAACATCCAGTAGAACATATGTTTAAGACATAATTCATAAGTGCTCCTTTCTCAGTATAATGTGATTGTAATCTAGTATACTGCTCTAACTGTATAAGAGGAGGCATGTCCAATCTCCAGCCCAACCACCAAATACAGCTGATGATGGTTCCTCATCCGGTCTGTAAGCCTTACCACAAAGGATGAACCAGAAACAAGATATTCTCCATCACTTTAAACCTTTAAAATCACTTTTATTATTTCAGTGAAGGATACGTTAAAGCTAAATTGACATACAAGACAATAATAGAGTGGTTAGGGTGTTAAATCTAGACTTAGGAGACTTGGATTCAGAGCCACCCTTAGTCATAGAAATTCATTGTGTGGGTTTGAGCTAGTGTACATTATCCCATGTATTTGCTTTAAGACAAGACGGGGGTATATATGAATTGTATGAGTGAATAGATGAATGATGGTCAACATGATTGGTAAGTATTACCATTCTGCCAGGCAATTTTTGCAAGCTAGTGCTTTACATTTGGCATTTTGGTGGAGGGATCTTAAGGCTTTTGGGTATGGGTGTTTTTCATATTGGCAGTTCCTGAGCAATGAAATGTGATTGTAAGGACAGGTATTTGTGTATCAAACAGCATGGAAGAGCAGAGAACTGGGAAGGCTGGTAAAACTCAATTGTGTGGAACACCAAGTGACAGATACAAAAAAGAAGCAAAGTGTAAGAAAGTGGAAGGCAGAAGGTGTGAATTGGAAGGGAAGGGCTGAGAGGAAGAGAAAGAGCAAATGCTGGGAATGGCAAGACACTATCAATGTGACAAACGTGTGGCGTTTCAATTCCAGTTGACGCACACTATTACTACTGTTATTACCTCCTTTTGTCGCTGTAACACATTACAACTTATCTGCTGCCATGCAGACACAGAATAGCATATGGAAGCAGAGGACTACAGTGGGAGACCTAGCAAGTTCAGTAAGGGGCTTGTTTGGCACCACTGTCATAGCTCCAGTGAAAGGTGAAGATATCAGCTGCTTATAGAAACTGCTGCCTGAGAAGAGAAAAATTGTAACTGTGTCTGTCTGCCCTTCAAGGCAGGCCAGGTTAGGAAAGCCACAAGAAATACTAAAACTCTGCTATAGATTTGGGATAACAAAAACTTGGAAGCCTGACAGCGTTTCCCTTCTCCTCCCTTATACCAAAGACTCAGTCTTCAGTCTCTTTGTTGCACTTTATTCCCCCCCCCCCCCCAAGGTTATCTGTGTGCTATTCTGAAGTCTGTTGCTCACTATAGACCAGGGGTAGGCAACCTCGGCTCTTTTATGACTCATGGACTTCAACTCCCAGCTATGCTGGCTCAGGAATTCTGGGAGTTGAAGTCCATGAGTCATAAAAGAGCCCAGGTTGCCTACCCGCTATAGACTACCATAATGGCAAAGGCTTGCCTGTGACTACGTGGTGCTTCAGTGAGTTCATCATATATATACAAGCCAAGGGACAGGGAACACTTCCCCCTCCGATTGTATGGGAGTGTATCTTCTGGAGTCAAAATGCTGAATGTTGGAGTTTGGCTGGTTTACAGTAGAAGGCAATGGGTTTAGCATAATAGAAAGATGAGCTAACTGAAGTGACCTTGGGCCAGATAGTGTCTCTATCTGCCTGTTATGGAGCTCTGGGGGATGATAATGGATGAAGAGGTAGGCCTTGCTGGTGACTTGTCTTCCTCTAATGGAGTCTGGAAGATCACTGCAACATTATTCTTCAGGAGAACCCTGAAGATGTTTTGTTTCACTGGGCTGGGAGGGACTGAATTCTTTGCATGCTGGGTTGTTTTATGGATGTCAATTTGATTTTTAAGAAACTAGTTAATTTATTTGGAGTTGGATTTTCAATTTTAATCTACTTTTAATAAGATGTTCTGAAACAATGAAGTTATGGTTTATGTTTTGCTTTGTGGTTTCTCTGTGAAATATCTAATTATTTTGACAAGGCAACATATTAACAAGGTAAGAAATAAATAAGGGAGAAGAATGAGCTGGACTTTCTGCTCCCAATGCATGGCATTCTGAAGGAACAAACTCCTTCCCTCCAGCTGAACACACTGCACTCTTCAGCAGGCTTGCCTCAAGCCAGACTTCCCCATCCCTGTACAAAATAGTATTAAGAAAGAAGGCATTGGATTCAAGGCTCCTTTTGGGAAACAGCTGCTCACACACTAATGATTACTTTGGTACTGAAGATACTGATTCATCAAACACTATAGAGTTGTAGGCTGTATGTCTCCTTCCTTGCTCGCAGCTTTGCAGGTTTCGATTTTCCTGATTCTAGTTTTCCAAAATAAATAAAACAAAAACATCTTAATAGGTTTAAGTTACACTTTCTTTATAATACAAATCATGAATGCAAAGGTTGTGATGTGACTTTAAAAACAGCCTCAATAATTTGGAAATTGTTCAATTTTAAGACAGGCAGAGTATACAAATATACCCACGTTCATTCTTTGTTATTTCCTCCCAGCTATGATTTTTAAATACTGTAGCGCATTGTGGGCTGAATCATTGTGGGCGTTGCTCCAGGAGATTCCTGTCCCGTGGCAAACTATGATTGGATTGGTTGAAAGTTCTACGAGGCTCTGGAATTGTCCATTCACACTCAACTCCTCTGAAATTATAGACACAAACGGGCGATAAGCAGAAAATCACTATCTTTGATCAAACAAAGCCTGGGAAAATTCTCTTTCCCAAATCTTCTGACCAGATCACCAAGTCATCAGAGATGTTGTCTTATTCTGAAGATTGAGGTAGAAACTATTCTTTTTATGAGGGTGGAGGTTTCCAAAACATTCTTTTTATCCTGTGCTAGCAATGAGACTCCATTATCTATATACATTTTTCTCATGCTGACCTTCTTACCCTCTTGAACTCTAATGCTAACCATGGTGATCCTCCTATGCTCTTGAAATCTAACAATAACTTTATGTAATGTTCTTAAAACTAGCTACAGAACAGTATCTGAGCCTTAAAAAACACAGCCAAAATATAGAAACTGATTCTCTGCTTGTAGTATACTTGAAGAAATATTCAGACTAAGTGTTGTAAAATAATTTCTGAATACATACCATCTGCTCTAGCAGTATTGAGAGAGAAAAGACGAAAGGAAGGAATGCATGCTTATAATTTACCAGGTCTTACCTACGTTCAAATATTTTATATTAAAACCTTGCTCCTCTGCAATTTCTCCAAGGAGCTGAATATAGTCTGTATTGGGGATATTGAGGGAGCTTATCTTCAACATAGTAATTTTTTCACCAGAAGAGTTCCTTAAGATATCCCATGTGCATCCCAAATTATGCATTTGTTCTTTTCCCTGAAACAAATGAAGGTTTAGATTTTGCCACACATTATAATATTACTTAGTATTTAGTCATGCAACCAATATTTTTAAAATTCTCTATTATTGAGCTGAGAACTTATGATGCAATGCTTTACGTTTTAATTAGAAAATGTGGAAATGCAAAGGCAGCATCTGTCTGTGACTCTTTAAAGCAGCCAAATTATGGTCTAGGATCATAAGGCGAGTAAGAGAAAGTTTTCACTGCAGCCCTGTGATCCTAGAGACCAATGATGATGGCGTTAATGGGTGGTAGAAGGTGCTGTATTCATACTCCTGGTAGTACCTCTTCTGGAATTCAAAACACTGCACAATTCTAAGAAGATACCAATCTTAGTTCTTAGTTTTCTCATGATACTGAGTTAATCATCAATTCCAAATGATGGCAGATTGAGGGAAATAGGAAAGAGAAAGGCTGTTTCAGGGCAAAGAAAGTTAGCTGCAGCAGTAACATTAGAGGAATCACCTAGTCAGTTTGGTGATAAACTGAAAGTTCTGATAGCTTTGGTGGATTTTCCTAAAAACTGCAGATATTTCAAGGGTTATGTTTTAGGAATTTACCTTTAAATAAAGTTAAACCAAATATCAAGACTATTTTATTTAGAGAACAGAATTTAGGCCAAGCTATTATTGAATATAATAATTATAATTTCCATTCTTGTTCCAACCCTTTTATTGTGCTTAGGTTGAGGCCGCAGATCAGAGACACACAACTTGCAAACTTCAGAAACTTCCACATACTGTTACCCATTTAAAAAGGGGTAATTTATGAACAGAGAGCAATTGTGCTATATATGTAAATAATATCCAACTGAGCTTTTATCCTGGCTGCAGACTTTTATATTTCAGTAATACAGACCTTAGCAGGCCTCGGAAAGATTGCACATGGATTCCATAGAAATGATAAGTTAAAAGTTCCTTGCAAATGAGCCAGTTCACACTGGATCCACATTAAAATGTAATCGTGCTTATACCCATTAAGACAGTTAACAGACTTTTTTTCATGATCCATTTCCTGAATGAGACAGTTTTGCTAATGGGCAAACATTCTGCTGTTTAGCAGTTCTGATCCTGAGATACAGCTAAAGCGAAAAAAGGATATAAATCTAATAAAAAACATAGTTTAACTCTTAAGAAAAATGCCTACGTCTTTTTAAAGCTATTTTCACTTTAATGTGCAGTTCCACCTTTGTTTTAAACTTGTTTTTCACTCTGCCTCTCTGGATAAAGAAATCCAGAATTTTGATTTTAACATTTCTCAAACAGTTGTCCAATACACTACAATTTTTGAAGCGAATAAGAGTTCTCATAGCAATTTATGACATGGCAGAATGTTCTTTCTTTTAAAACAAAAAAAAGCAGTGGTTTATAGTATTTCTAAAATATTACTTTGGACACCAAAACTAGGTTTTTTCCCATTCTCACCAAGGATGGTTGTTGGGTTTTAGGTTTTTTTTGGCTAAAATTTTTCCAATTTCTTTTTCTTTTATTATAATATTGTAAATCATGGTGGACTATGTTATTTAAAATCAAATGTCAATGCACTAATATTTAGAAAAATGATTAGGTATTACTAACATTCTATTACTTAAAAAGCTGAAAATGTTGAAAGTAAAACCTCTTACATTTTCAGAAAAGCAATAAAAGATGAATAGAACAAAGCAAAAACAAGTTCTGTTTTAATTAGCATTTCCATCAGCCTAAGTAGTAGTGGAGAAAACCTATTGTAAAGATAACAGCCATTTTTTTCCAGCACCTGAAGAGAAAACATTGCTTTCTCCAGTGCTTCAAGAAGGTAGCCAAATAAAGGAAAGGACAGCATTCTTGAACCTTTAATCATGTGCAGAACTGTAGTTTATCAAGCCTTATGTTGCTGTCAAAATAATGTACTGTAATTTATACCAAATAGTAATGCAGTTCATCATGGATACCAAATGGATAGGTGGGGTTTATTAGAACATATACTGTATTTTCCTGCGTATAAGGCGACTCAGCGTACAAGACGACCCCTGACTTCGGCGCCGATTTCCATGCCTAGAAAGTCATCGTATACGCAGGAAACTACCGTAATTTCCGGCATATAAGATGACCCCCGACTTCGGCGCCGATTTCCACGCCTTAGAAAGTCGTCTTATACACCGGAAAATACAGTATATAAAAAACCCTCATCTTCGTTGAGAGGATGAAAAGGAGCTGTGAATGTAATTAGTATGTATTTATTTAGTGTATGGTGAGTTATATTAGCCGGAAGTCCTTGATGCTAATACAGCAGCGGTTCTCAACCTATGGGTCGCGACCCCATTTGGGGTCGATCGACCATTTTACGGGGGTCGCCAAACAATGCGATCCGCCATTTCCCCCCCTCAGGGGGCACACCGCCGCACATGCGTGCCACGCCACGCATGCGCGGCATGTTTGTGTGACGGGGGTCGCCGTCACACAAACGTTGAGAAACACTGTAATACAGAGTAGTTATTTGGCTGTATATAATTATTGGAGAGATATAAAGACTTGGTTGACTGCATCTATTCACCCATATAAAACAGTTCTTGGGTAGTGAAGCCATGCAAAGAAAGGGGCTATCAGAGAATGGAAAAAGTAGGACCCACAAGTGTTTATAATGGGGTTCCAATGACTATAACTCAGCAACTCAGAAGACTTGATTGTATCCCTCTAATCCTCTCCAAACATTGCCACCAAATTGTCATTGTAGCAAACATAAGAAAGTTATGAAATGCATGGAAAAACTGCTATATTACTTGTGTTTGATTAATTTTAATCAGATGTATTTTTCTGCCCATACCTCTTCTGCCCAGTGTGTGGTAACATTGCCTACCACAGCCTACCAATCAAGGGCCAGGAAGAAGCCTTCTTCTGAAAAGAATTGTACCTCCTGATTTACAAATAATCGTAGCTTTTGGAGGGACCTGCAGGGTTCAATTCAATGCTTGCTTGCTCAGAAATAAATTATGCTCAATGGAAGTTATTCCCAAACTACTTTGTATAAAAATGTCATCCTTTACGTATTAGAAAAAGATGAGAAATGGAGACAGAAGATGATTATTAGAAATGAAGAAGACATTAATAAAGTTCAGTGATTAAAGCAGGTACTTTCTATTAAATTTAATGAATTACTTACTAAAGAAATTGTGATATTATCCTGACAAAAACTGTGGAATTTTTCAAGTAATTTCTCAGCAGCATTTCGCTTTGCTAATTTTTTAGATGTTCCCATACCTAGATAGTAAAGAAAAGGTAAAATTATTGAAGTAGATAAAAGAACTATTTTGGATTACAGTAGACAATTACATTCCAGAGTCAGGTAGGATTACATTTGGGGTATGCACATGCCTTTCAGTAGCCACAAATTTGAAATTCTCTTTGTATCTATTTTGTTCTGCACTTATTAACTTTAGCAATAGGCATCAACGGCTAACTCTGGTCCTCTCAGACCCCTTCTAACTAATGTCAGTATTGATTCATCAAATCATTATATGGATGAGAATACAGAACAGTGTGGAAGAATATAAGGAAGAGAGAGATGCTGCTGGCTTTGCTAACTTGGCTAAGGCTTCATTTGAACCTGCCTTACCACAGCAGGCTGACCACTTGGATGCAGTTTGAAGGTAAAGTCTCCATGGGAAAAGGACTAAAAGGAGCAGCAAATGCAGCTGATAAAATATAGACTTATTTGATGGCATCCTTTTAACCATATAAAAATGTTACAGGGATAAAGGCCTCTGCACAGATGAATTGCACCAATACATAGATAAATCATACCGAATCCTAATTTCTACTCTGTTTTATGAACTTAGAGACAGAGATCAACTGAAAAACAGATCAGTAATATGCTGCATGATATTAAACAAATAGCAAGGCAAATTAATGACAGAATGCTGGGAATAACCTCTCACCAAAATGGTGATAAGCTCCAATATTTGCTGAGAGCAAAACTTTGCTATATTCCTGATAATTTCTGGTAGGATATATATAGAAATAAGAGACAGGTACTTTGACTATCTGATTAGTCCTTGCAGGAAGACAGAAGCTTTGTGCACTAAGTACAGGAGAGGGGACAGGAAAAAGACACGCACTGCTGGCTTAACAGTCATATCAGAAGATAAATAAAAGCTCTCTAGGAATGTTATGAAATCTTCCCTCCATCAACATGCATATAATTTTACATTACTTTTATCAAGCAGCTACTGTACTGTTAGATTTTACTGGCCTGATATTTCTGGCAAACAAACTTTTGAAATACCAAAGAGAGAAAGGAAAAAAGCATTCAGTTTACAATGCTCAGAGGGTAACAGACCAGTGTTTTGATGTTCTATTGTATTGAAATGTGGCCAATGTAACTCAAAAAAATTGCCCTGATTTTATTTATTAGACCTATTAAATTTCCTCTAAGCAAGGGGAGATTAAGGAAACTTACCTCTAGTTTCTCGACTCAGTGGCATTTCATATAATAGGAAATATATGCCTGGAATCCTTCCCTCCCTCCCTCCTCTTCCAACTCCAATTGATCAGGGGGCAAAAACACAGTAGTAGTAATTCAATAGATCAGGGGTATACTGTTTTTTTTTAAAAAAAATTATCTACCTTTGCTTTAAAAAAATCATGAATTAGGATATTCCACAAGAATATAGATAAGGGACATTAGACTTTCCAGTGTACAGGCATTGGTATGTATAAAAACGTCCTGGTAGGTCTAAAAAAAAAATAAATCACTATTTCTCCCTGCCTTATTGTATGTGCAGCCATGTGTCCAGAAGTACTTTTAATTCAAAGTATTTATAACCAGGCTTCCGAGTGAAATATCTGACAAGACCATTTATCAAACAAAATTATATAAACATGAAAAAGTATGAAACAATAGAAACAACCAATTCATCGTTTTTAATCCTGTGCTAAATTCAAGTCATTTTGGAAAAGAATGACGTACCTGTTTCTACAAATGTTTCAATTCTGCAAGTCATTACAAACTCCCTCTTATGAGGTGGCCCAGTCTCCTGGGCCAGTGAATATTCAGGTAATCTCCAACCCTTCCTCATAGCCAGTTCCTTGAAGCGGGAAAAAATACAGAGAAGACTGTTTAGAATCAGCTTTAAAAGAATACCTGCACTTCAGAAGTTTCCCATCCAGCACAGGAAACAAACCCCCAATGTTAATTACAGTAAATCCTCTGTTAAACAGACCTCAGTTTCACTGACTTTGAATATAATGGTGAAAATAGTGGGGTTCTCTTTTATTTGGGGGAAGCAATCTAGACAGTGCGTACAATTTTTGCTAAGATTTGGACGTGCTTCTGAGTTCCAGGTGAGAGCAGAAAGGTACTAAGATGACTTTGTGGCATTTGCACAAGCTTTGTGTGTGAATTCATGGAAAAGGGAGGGAGCCAATGCATCGGGAAGATTGGGCAACACATTTAGGCAATGATTGAATTGAGAAAAGGGGGCTGGAAAGACTCAGTGGGCAAGCGATGGTCTTCCCAAAAGAGGGAAGGGCAGAAGATGCTAGGAAGATCAACAAGGCAGGCCAGTGGTTAGACGCTGCAGCAGTGGCAATTTTTCCTGCCCTGGCTCTTGCCCCAATCAACACTTCTTTAGTAACGAAGCAATTGGAGCCAAAAGCTGCTTTCAATAGTCCCTAAGGCTGAGGATGAGATCGCTAAAAGTAAATCCTAAACTTCCACAAGAATTTGGTGGGTAAGTAAGTAAGGGCAAAAAATGTCCACTCAAATACAGCCACTTTTCTATCACTGGTGCTTTGCCTCTTGATCAGGAATTCCAAGGATTTTTTTTTTAAATTTTCATGACCTAAGAAATTATCTTCACAAGTGCCTGTATTCAACTTGTGAAAAGGGAAAGAGAAAAAGAGGGGCATTTGTATTTAACTGACACCCTCACTTGAACAGCCGGTTAAATCAAAATTTCAATTAAATAGTGCTTCTGGCTCCGAAATGCATCTAAAATCTGGGATAAAATAGCCTTTACCCATACTGCAATTACAAAGGAAACAGGAGGATGGAGTAGACACTCAAGCTCTTTGTAAGCTTCCCATCAACACTGTCAATGTGAACTAAAGAAAAATGTGGAGGAATTTTACATTTAAACCAATTTTGGAGAAAAGCAAGGTATTACACCTGGGCAGGAAAAACCAAAGGTACAAGTGCAGATTAGGCAAAACCTGGCTCAAAAACAGGAACTGAGCCAGCAATGTGCAGCAGCAGTCCAAAAATGCTAATACAATCCTTGGCTGTATAAACAGAGGCATAGAATCAAGATCATGTGAAATAATAGTACTGCTTTATAAATCCTACCTGGAGGTAGGATCATACCTGCAATACTGCATCCAATTTTGGTCACCACATTACAAAAAAGATGTTGTGAGTTTAGGAAAAGTGCAAAGATGATTAAGGGCCTGGAGACAAAAACGTATGAAGAATTGTTGCAGGAATTGGGTATGGGGTGACATGATAGCAGTAATCCAGTATTTGAGGGGCTGCCACAAAGAAGGGATCAACTTATTTTCCAAAGCACCAGAAGGCAGGACAAGAAACAATGGATAGAAACTAATCAAGGATAGAAACCTAGAATTAAAGAGAAACTTCCTAACAGTGAGGACAATTAATCAATGGAACAGCTTGTCTCCAGAGGTTGTAGGTGCTTCATCACTGGAGGTTTTTAAAGAAAAGATGGGGCAGCCACCTATCTGAAATGGTATAGGGTCTCCTGCTTCAGCAAGGGGTTGGACTAAAAGACCTCCAAGGTCCCTTCCAGCTCTATTCTAATATTTCTACAGAAGAAAATGTCTTTATATCATCCTTCAAAGAGAAAGATTTTCTGTTTTTGGCAGAAATATGGTAGTCCTCAACTTGCAACCATTTGCTTACCAACCAAAGTTACAATGGCACTGATAAAAAATGACTTAGTTTGATCCTTGCACTTTCACAACCATCACAGCATCCCAATGGACATGATTGGAATATGGGTACTTGGTAACCACTATGTATTTAGGACTGTTGCAGCATCCCAAGGTCATGTGATTGGGTTGATTCAGAACCTTCCCAGCCGGTTCCTGATAAGCAAAGTCCATGGGGGGAAACTGAATTTGCTTAATGACTGCATGATTCACTTAGCAACCACAGTGATTCACTTAACAATGATGGCAAAAAGGTTGTAAAATTGGGTGTGACTCGCTTAACAACCATCTTACTGGTCCCAATTGGGATCGTAAGCCGAGGACTACCTGTTATCAGTAGTTTCATTTTCCTTTTTCTCTTCACTTATTTTTGTTATCACCAACTTCACTTTATGTTGCATTCTTTCCTGAGGGGGATATGAACAGTCTTCCCTCATTCACGCAACCTGTTCCTGACTACCTGCCATTAGTCTGCCATCAGAAAATAAAAAGGAGGGGGAAAAAAAGTTTTGTAAATCTGGTTTGTAACTGTAATTTAGGATTCCTTGAACTTTTTAAAACATAAAAATATAATACATATCAAATTAGCAAAATAGCGTTAAGGTCATTATAACTCACTTGCAATGATCCAATCGGATTGGTCTGTTTCTGTGCTTGATTGATAGGTTCAGGGATTGTATGGTCTGGCATAGAAATACTAAAATGAACATAGTAAACTTAAAATGGACACTTTAGAAAGTACTGTTATACATGTATTATAATGCCAAATGTCCTGGATTTTTCACAGGAATTGTTATCCCATTTTTTTTCCTGTTTTTTTTTTTCATTAGTTTGATAAGTAGATCCTGAAGTAAGCAATGGATATCTATTCTCTAATATTACCTTTAACTTTCTGATGCCCTTTTTTTCTTTCTCTTTCATTCTCGGATATCCTCTTCCCAGCATATTTGATAAAGTATAATAGCTTTCTACAGGTCTCAGACAATACTAATTCCGAAAACTACATTTCACAGTAATTATGGAATTCCCACCTGTTCATGCCTAATCAGATTTTCATGACGTCATCAACTTTTTGAGAGTTAGAGTCATAAATATGATAAAAATTCTGACAAGATCTAAAATGCCAGAAAAGATTTCAGTGTATCATCTAACTCCTAACAGAGACATGTGAGATGCTGTTATATAATACTTTGTTTCTTCCAATACCTTTTCAAAATAAGTGACACTGTCCAGCCTCCCCTATTCAGGAATATCTAGTACTATTTATAAAAATGTGAGAACTTCCTCTATCAACATATGAAGATCAGGGATCCAGTGAGCAGGATGGAGAAGGTGAAACAGGGCTAGCAGAGGCAATTCTCACTGTGAATTAGCTAACTGCCTGCTCAATGGTATTCCATCACAATGCTCAACATCAAACTTACCAGACATTTGGACTGCTTTTCAAAATATTCAGTGCAGCTTCAGCAGCTCTGTGTTTTGCAATCTTTTTGCTGCGACCCTCTCCTGAAGCAATAAAAACAAAAATATATCTCTGTACAAAGCAGAGTAACAATAAAGATCTCAATATCTGAATTTCAAGCAATAGTTTTCTGTTACTATTTTGTCTGGGAAAGGAAAAAAAGAGGGGCTTATAGTTAGCAATCATCATGCACTGAAATAAATTCATTTTTCAAAATATTAAAATGTAAATTCACTACCCTGATCCTACAGAAACCTGGCCAATTTACTTTTTTCCAAGGGAACAAAATGGCCAATCACATTTGGCAGTATAAATAAGGCTCTGAAAAAAACACACAGAATTTGTATCTATATAGTGTTTTATTAGTTCTAAGGCTACATCAAAAGTGATTAAGCTAGGAAGGACAAGAGGATATCAGGATAAACCTCGGCCCTTTGGGCTCTGAAATTGAATTAAAGGGAACAGAATGGAAATAGGAAGAAAGAGAAATGTTTGAACTAAGGAGAATGGAAGGAAATATATGCAGGTGAGGGAGGAATGCCCCTCTATAGCACAACATTAGCTGCTGCCTGGAAGATAGTGGTGATGGGATGAACCTTTGAGAAAGTAGGACAGGATTCATCCTTTAAACCAGTGTTTCTCAACTTTGGCAACTCAAAGATGGGTGGACTTCAATTCCCAGAATTCCTCAGCAAGCCATAGCTGGCTAGGGAATTCTGGGAGTTGAAGTCCACTCATCTTCGATTTGCCAAGGTCGAGAAACTGTTCTAAATCACACTCTGTTACATTTTTAAATGACTGCCTTCCACACAGATTAGAACAGTTTTGGGGAGAGATGGCCTTGGAAAGATATTTATGCCATGAGATCCACTCTTTCCTCCATATCCCCTATCCCCAACATTATCTCTAAATTTAATCATTTGTCTTCTGACCCCATTTTCTTCCATATAAATATTATCTGCTTCCTTAAGAACAAAGAGAATGGTAACCTTATATTTTTTTTCAGCAAAAATACAATATAAACATTGTATATAAACACTGGAGCATTCTCAAACCCCTCCAATTTTGATATCCTAATCATGAACCATTCTATTTGTTTTCATAGGTGCACAACATATGGCTCTGTAAATTTTGCTAAAGCACAACTTTTATCAATTCCAGCCAGCAAGGCCAATTCCGTAGCCGAAATTCAGTAGCATCTGTTATTTCGGACTCACTGGGAGCCACAAGTTATGAGGAGACAATATGCTAAACAGAAGAAACACTTCATTTTTTTTTTCAGAGAAACACTACATGCAATGAATCAAAGAAATACATTTTAATACATTACATTTTCACAAACCTGTTGCAATGATGTCACCTATGATGACTTTATACGTGAAAATGGGCATATGTACTTCTCCCTCGGCTTTTTCAAATTCATATTCAGGATTAAGGTGAGCTTTTGTGCCATATTCAAGCAATAGCTGAATCGGTGTTTTGTTTGGTTTGGCTGCAATAATTTCCTCCAAGCTGTTCAACAAATGATTAAGAATATGTAAGAAAATGAAAAATATTTAAGAATTAGTTTTTCTTTTGAAAATAACTTCTCAATTTTTCATTCATGACATTTAGAGATTAGAACCCAGAAAATGTAAAGTATGCTTCTGTGATTATACTTTTAATTCATACAAATGTGTACAATGGGAAAATAAAAAGGAATGTCATCTTATTTGTCATTTAGCTTAGTAAATATCAGCTATATTTGGATATGATCCCAGAAGTATGAGAAGAGAAAGTGCAAATTAGCTGTAATGTAGAAAGACAACTTAATTTGTTTATCACATTTTTTGTACCACCCATTCTCCTTCAGAGAGCTGCAATGTGTAAGGTACATATATCTACACTATATTGTATTCACGCTTCAATTTAATGTTGCCTTAAGCAATAAATTCGTCTTAATTAGGGCTGCACAGCAATCTAGATCAGTGGTTCTCAACCTTTCTAATGCCGCGACCCCATAATACAGTTCCCCATGTTGTGGTGACCCCCAACCACTTATACATCACCGGGTGCCAGGGGCGTGGCCAAAGAAAAGGGGGAAAAATGGCGGACAGCCTTGTTTGGCGACCCCCGTGAAATGGTCGTTCGACCCCAAATGGGGTCCCGACCCACAGGTTGAGAACCACTGATCTAGATTCAGAAAGGAAAAGACCATTTGGAGAGTGCATAGGTACATGCCTTAATCTCTCAGAATTTCCTTAAACTAACTGCATCTTTTCCTGGGCCTGCATAGTTACACTACATGAGCATAGAAAAAGGCATCATGTTTTAAGGAAATGCAGACATTATTATATGCACATTCACACATCTATCAAATAACTTATCTTTTTTGAGTCTACATCAGGGGTCCCCAACCCCTGGTCTGTGGACCAGCACTGGGCCAGAAACCAGGCCACGCAAACAAGCAAAGCTCCATCCGTGGGATGCAGGCAGCACATGAAACCATGCCCCCTCTGGTTCATGGAAAAACCTCTCTCTACAGAACAGATCCCTGGTATCCAAAATCCCTACATCACATTAATTTCATTTCATTTTCTCATGCACTTATTTATAAACATAACTTTTCTACCCATAACATTTTGATGTTCATCAGGTATTACAAAATTGGGATGGTCAAACCAGAGAGTTTGTTGAAGAACTATGACATCTGCCATTCACATTTTTATAAAAAAAGAATGTTTGGAGTGGGTAATAAGGATTAAGTCAATTTCTCTTGTATCATCCTCCTCCATCTAGGCTCAAGAAATTATTTGCTTCCTTAAAGAAAACATTTAGAGTCTCCCAATGTCTCATTTTCCTCAACCATGAACTTTCTCCCTAGTGATGGCTCCTTCTAGTTATTCTGAAATCTTTTATTGAAAGTTGGACCATAAGAAAGGCTGAGCGCTGAAGAATTGAGGCCTTTGAACTATGGTGCTGGAGAAGACTCCTGCGAGTCCCTTGGACTGCAAGGCATTCAAACAGATAAGTCTTAGAAGAGATCAACCCTGACTGCTCTTTAGAAGGCCAGATCCTGAAGTTGAAACTCAAATACTTTGGCCACCTAATGAGAAGGAAGGACTCACTGGAGAAGAGCCTAATGCTGAGAAAGATTGAGGGCAATAGAAGAAGGGGATGACAGAGAACGAGGTGGCTGGATGAAGTCACTGAAGCAGTAGGCGTGAGCTTAAATGGACTCCAGGCGATGGTAGAGGACAGGAAGGCCTGGAGGAACGTTGTCCATGGGGTCGAGATGGGTTGGACACGACTTCGCAACTAACAACAACAACTGCATATAGTATTTGTATGGGGATGCAATGGCTCAGTGGTTAAAGACGCTGAGCTTACAGCCCATGTTCAAGACCTGAGCACCGCACGACCGGGTGAGCACCTGTTACTTGTCCAAGCTCCTGCCTACTTAGCAGTTCGAAAGCATACAAATGCGAGTGGATAAATAGGTACCACTTTGGTGAGAAAGTAACAGCGTTCCATGATCATGCTTATAATCATGCCCTGAAAGTGTCTTCAGAAAACACTGGCTCCCTTGACTAAGAAACGTAGATGAGTACTGCCCTCTAGAATCGGACACAACTGGACAGAGGAAACCTTTACCTTTACTTCTATTATCTATATGCCGCTCATTTTACTCACTTTATTTCATGTATATCCCATTTTTATTATTTTTATAAATAACTCAAGGCAGCAAACATCCTACACACCTTCCTCCTCCTATTTTCCCTACAACAACCCTGTGAGGTGGGTTGGGTTGAGAGAGAGAGTGAATGGCCCAAAGTCACATAGCTGGCATTGCTGAAGGCTTTGAGTGGCTAACAATCAGAAACATCATTGGCAAAAAAAAAAAAACCCTCTGCATAAATAAACTGTAATAAATAGTAATAAAATTTTAACTGATTCATAATGGTTTTTTTTTTTTAAAGTCTCATGTCCACCAATGCATTCCAACATTCAAAGCATGCCTTTCTGCTGGGCTTGAAGGAAAAGTTTTTAACTAAAGAAGGAAGAGCATGGAGGAAAACAAGAACTTAGCTCAGAAAAAAAGGAGTAGGGAGGAAAAAGAAATAATTGAGATTGCCCCACTTTGGGTCTCCAATATAAGAGGATGAGAAAGAAAAACACTGTCAGGATTTTAAGATATACATTCAGATTTGTATATACTGAGTCACTAAAAATGGGGATGGGTGTATTAAGCTGGCTATACAGTAATTCCTCAATGGTTAATGCTACACTTTGGTCAAATTCCCTGAATTAAAGCTGAAAGTCTTCACTCACATCCTGAGGGTTTCATTTCAAATTCAGTATGGTGATGTATAGAGAGGCCAAATGCCAAAAAGCATATGAAGGTGAATATATGTGTCCTGGGATAATATTGCCAAATCCAATCTGGGTCAGTCATTGGGACCAGAGGTTTTATATCATTTATCATTATCCCAAAATATTCTGAACCTGGCTGTAGCTTACAACCTAAATCAAAAGAATTTTAGTATTTCTCCTGGTGCCTGCTTCCTGGCCTAGCCTACTTAGAAAAGCTGACATACACAGAACATAGGACTTGTCTGCAGTGTAAAGCAGTCAAAATCTTTATATGGGTTGATGCACTGGAGCTTAAATTCTACACAAAGTCTTCTGATCATTCTGAATTAATGTTTACTTATCCATTCTCTTAATATCTTTGGGACATCGCTGAGCTCAGACTGCTACCTCCCAATCACTATGATAGATGATCTTCTCTTATCAACAAGACCCATCAGAAATAGAAACATAGCATTTCCTAAACATTTAAAAAAAAAATTTAAAAATCAGATTTGCTCTGAATGCTATTAATTTTTAAATTAATAAATAATAAAATAAAATTTAAACACACCAGCTACGCATAAACATGCATTAAATCCCATGTATGGTTATTTAAAAGTAAATCTCAAATCCAATGGAACTTCTCTATAAGTTGCACAAAGCAATTCCACAGACCCAGGGAAAGGACAAAACTCTTTAAGAAACAGCCATCATTTTCCTTCACCCACTGTTTTAGTTTTTTACCTCTATTAAAAAAAAACACACACACATACAATTGCTCCTAATGGTTGTAAATAAAGTATGACATGGTACACTTTCAATTTCTAAAGACGACTTTGCGTTTTTCAGAAACTGTCAATTAAAATATTGAAAAGCATTTTTTTTATTTAGTCATAAACAAAATGGCAGTTTTATGGGTCTCAACCTTGCATGTGTTCAGCTGAGGCACTTCTATATGAAAAGATGCTCTGACATCTTAAAAACATATGGGTAGTTCAGAGAAAAATGCATTCAGCCATGGAAGAATATTGTGCATGGAAGCTGCATCTACCTTGCATGCAAATATTCATTAGCTATTCCCCACAGAATTAAAAGAAAATATCACATGCGAAGAGTATTGCCTATTCTCCCCCAACTGAAATCAAAACTTGCAGCTGGTACAACAGTCATTGGTCTTATTTGAGACAGCAATTAATCTGCATATAAGTGGAAGGTTGGAGAACTGTCCCTGTGTTGCAGCTGGAACAATCTGGAGCTTAACATGCTTAAAACTGTAGAGATGAGAGTGGATTTCAGGAGTCCTTCTATTCTACCACCTCTTTACTGTATCAAACAGTACAATATCGGCAGTAGCATCCTTCAAGTTGTGTTCTATAATCTTCCAGGATTTGAAATGGACACCTCACATTAGAACCATTAGGTACAACAAAGAATGTTCTTGCATCAACCCAGGAAGTTCAGACTGGCCCAGGAGCTGTTGATACAGTTTTATAGAGGAAATATTGAGTCTATAGCACTTGTACTTCCACAACTTGTCTTGTCATCCAAACAGGATACAGACTCCAGCAGATAGTACACACTCCAGCAGATAGTTAGCACTGCAGAAAAAACAACTGCAATCAGCCTGCCTTCCATATAGAAGACCTTTATATTGTGGTGGTGGTGCAGTGGTTAGAATGCAGTATTGCAGGCTAATTCTGCCAACTGCCAGGAGTTTGATTCTGACTGGCTCAAGGTTGACTCAGCTTTCCATCCTTCCAGGATCGGTAAAATGAGGATTGTTGAGGGCAATATGCTGACTCTGTAAAACCGTTAGAGAGAACTGTAGAGCACTATGAAGCAGTATATAAGTCTTACTGCTATTGTGCAGGTCAGAAGGAGGGCTGAGAACCTATTTATAGACCTTTCACATCCTGGACATAAACTGTTTCAACTCTTTGCCTTGGGACACTGCTACTGTATATGAAATTGCATACTAAACAACTAGACACAGGGACAGTTTTTTTTTTCCCCTCGTCCCATCACTCTGCTTAATTCTCACAATACTGTCTTATGTCTAAATATATTTACTCATGTATGGCTGTAGTATTATTACCCTTAACTTTACTATTCCCTTTTATTGATATCATGATTCTTACTACTCTGTTGTTTTGCACATATGCTAACAGCTTCTGCATTAGAGACAAATTCCTTGTGTGTCTAATCACACTTGGCCAAATATTCTATTTTCTACTATTTTCTCTTTTCTATTCTCTCTTCTCTCTCCCCCCTCTCTTCCCCTTCCATGTTATTCTATTAACCCCAAGACCAAATTTTAACAAAAGTATTTAAGTTGAATCCATTACCCTTTCAGCTATGTAATGCTACTGAGCTAACCTTAATTAACTTTGAAAAACTAGACAGGATTAGATTCAGTTGGTCCTCGGATGAGAAACCATCAGAAAATTTCAAGGACCTAAACATGACTTGGAAGCCAACACGGACCCCAGAAGGGGCAAGAGCAAGCCATTTCCGTCCTGTTGCCATGAAAACCATGTGGACGTCTACATTAAGTCACAAATCGAAGGAACCCATAGAGCTGCTCAACACTTAAGCAGAGCTCTTGCAAGGAGTCAAGGAAGAGGTTGCGTTTTTTTCCCCCAACCTTGCTTAGAGCCAAAACCGGGAACCTTCGACAAGGAAGCCCTCTTTTCCTGCCTTCAAATTGCGCCAGATTTTTTTTTTTTTCATTTCTAGTCTTCGTACTTTTTCCAGCAGTTGGGTCCCCACCATCTCGGAAGTTTCCGGGGGAGATACGCCTATTCTGGGGGGCCGCGACATGTAAATGCAAGCAGCTCGGCATCTGTGGCTCCGGGCCTGGGAAGGGTGCCAGCCGCACGCGCCGCCTTTAAAAGGCGACACCTACCCCACCTCACCACACACACAAACACACCCCAAGAAGCTCCACGGCGCCCGCAACCCCTTCCCTCTTCGCGGTGTAAATTCCCGGGCGTTTTTTTTTTTTTCTCACGGACTGCTTATGGCGGCGCCTCCACCCGCCCCGCGCGCCGTCTAACCTGGCGAGTTTCGGCTTTGCTCTCGGCGAGTTCCGCTGCCCGGACAATTCCTCCGGCGTTAAGGGCGCGCAAGGAAGAGACGCAGCCACGCTACCCCCAACCAGCGCCTCCATCTCCCCCTGGCCAGAGCAACCTCCTCTTTGCCCGCCCACCCACTTAATGGAACTCACGTGGTTCCGGTGAGTCACGTGAGGAGGAGCCCGAAGCCGGCGGGCTCTCGTTCCATGCTCTCGGCGATTTTTGTTGTTTGGGCTCTATCGCGCTCGGTTTGAATGACATTTTCCAAATCCCGGTTAATGGGCCAAATCCTGCCCCATCTGGGCTAAGATGGGGCAGGATTGGCCCATTAACCGTGGTTTCGAAGATGTCTCGTTATAGCATGTGCTTCCGAAAGAGCAATGGTTGCGTTGCAATGTCATCAGACGCTTGTTATTCCGCCTGTCATGGCTGACGCCGAGCGCTCGTGCTAGAAGCAGCAAAAAGAAAAATTACTAACGCTTGACAATTACCTTCAAGTGAAAAATGAGATGTTGGTTTTGTTTCCGTTTTGAAATGATGAGGAAAAAAATAACATTTGCCATGAAATTCAAATGCCGATGCTCTCCAGTTTCCTCCATTGTGAATAAAAATGAATTTTTTTTACTGTAACTCTTTAATATTGAAAGTTGGAAGCCTTACTTAACTCCAGCTAAACTGGAGAAAGCCTATATAACAACTCTGTGCTATAGATTATGCTGAGGAAAAGAGTAACTTATTAGAAAACTAGTCTTGCTCAGTACATGTAGTCCTTGACTTAAAACAATTTAGTGACCAGTTACAATGAACTTGAAAAAAGTGACTTATGATTTTCACACTTAACAACTGTTGCAGCACCTCCCTGTGGTCATGTGATTAAAATTCAGACATTTGACAATTGACTCTCATTTATGAGAGTTGTGTTTTGGGTCATGCGGTCCCCTTTTGCGACCTTCTGACAGGCAAAGTCAATGGGGAAGCCAGATTCACTTAGCAACTGTGTTACTAACATAATAACTGCAGTGATTCGCTTAACAACTGTGACAAGAAAACTTGTAAAATGGGCAAAGTTCACTTAACTGTCTCGCTTAGCAATAGAAACTTTGCACTCAGTTGTGGTTCTAAGTCAAGGACTACCTGTATTAACACTGCATTTTAGCCTAAATAGTGGTTTACAACATATTACAATATGGTTCATTAATATCATAAATGCAATTTGGGTCTTGTGTCAGAAAAATATGAATATAACTTACTACCTGAGATGTAGTAGCTTTAAAAGTAATTTTAAAGTTTGTTTCTCCATCCATCCATCCATCCACTATAGTGGATATAAAAAGTCTACTTTTTAACACTCCTGTTAAAATGCCAGTTTTTTGAGACATAAAAAAATCAAACCAAGATAAATCACTTCAAATTTTTTCCACCTTTAATATAACTTATAAGCCAGTGGTGACAAACCTTTTAGAGATCGAGTGCCCAAACTGCAACCCAAAACCCACTTATGTATTGCCGGGTGCCGGGTGGGTGTGGCTCGCTGGGTGGCGTGGCTATGGTAGTCATGGTAGATTGGGTGGGCGTGGCCAGGGTGGGCGTGGCCAGCTCAATTTTGCTCCTGGGGAGGGATGCCTATGGGGGCTGGGCAGGGTTGGGGGAGATCCAGGGGGTCTCTGGCAGGTGGGGCAATGGGCAGGAGGGCGTCTTGCTTAGCTGATGGCTTGGTGGGGAAGGGGGCAGTTACACCCCCTTCCAAACACTGCCGTCTCCCTCCCTCCAGGCTGGGGTTGATCAGATTCCCCCCATGGGCAGCTCTGTCCCATCCCCAGCCAGCCCTCCTCCTCCCATCCTCCTCCTGCGGGCAAACTGTGGCTTACTGAGCCAGGCAGTGCCTCTCCCTGCCTGCATCCTCAGGCAGAGGAGATGGGCAGCTGCAGCTCTCACTCCCCTCCGGCCTCCATCTGCCCAAGGCCCGAGCTCAATGTGCCTGGCTGGCTGGCGACAGGCTGGAGAGTGCAGGATGATGGAAGCTGCCCTGGGATGAGGGGTGGGTGCTCCCGATGTCTGCAAGGGAAGAAGTAGCATGAAGGCTCCGTGCCCAGTTCAGCCCACCCCCTGCATGGCACGGAAAGTGAGGCAGCAGCCCCATGTGTGTCCAACCCAACCCTTGCAGAGTGCCGTTCTGTTGCTTCCCCTCCACCCGCTGCACGGATCCCGCTGCCGCTGCTACTTGGAAAAGGCCTCTGTCGCCCGGAAAAGCTGTGGGGGGAGCTCAAAAAGGCCTATACCGCCCAGAACGGGCCGCTGGGATGCTGCAAAAAGGCCTCTGCTGCCCGGATCGGCCGTGGGGGGGGGCACAAAATCACTCTGCGTGCATAGATCCGGACAGCAGAGGTCTTCTCCAGGCCTCCAGAGCCCGGATCGGGCTGCAGGGGTGCCGCAAAAATCGCTCTGGAGGCTTACCTGGACTCATGCTGGCAGCTGCCTCCACCATCCAGCCCTGATCCGCCCAGCTCTTGCAGCTGCTCCCTGACTCCCAGTGCAGAGATAAAGAGAGCGAGAGCACACATGGAGAGACAGAGGAGTGCAGCTTGGTCCTGCCTCCCTCTGGGGCGATGGCATGCATGCCCACAGGGACGGCTCTGCATGCCACCTGTGGCACACGTGCTATAGGTTCGCCACCACTGCTATAAGCTGAACAATTCAATTGAAAAATTGAAATCTTTTAGGAAGAAAAAAATAAAAACTAAAACTCTCATGTCTATAACCGTTTTCTTTTTATCTTTTTCTTTTGCTATTTTTCTTATTTTTCACATTATTTATAATTTAAATATATACATTTGTACTTATTTATCCATTTAAATAAATTTGCTCTCACTCTCATTGACTTTTTTTGCCCACCTATCGTCATTCTGTTTCTTTTTTTAGGTAAGCAGATATCTCTGAAACAATGACCCAATGGGTCATGGGTTTCTAGTTTCAAAATAAACCAAAAACAACATACAACACAAAGAAAATTTTTAAATTAAAAAAGAAATTAGTATGTTTAATATTTGCATCTAAGAAATATAGATAAAAAATGCCTAAACAGAAAAATAGGTAAACAGATAAAGATATATAAATAGATAAGATTGTGTATAGTCAAGCTATACTTCATTATTTAAATGTTGAATGACAACATGGAAAAATAAAGTAAGTTATAATTTTGTTAGCTGGTCATTTTTTTGTGTCTCTTATATTTAAATCTGAAAGAAAGACTGACGAAAGGATGGGAAAACTTGAGTGGGGTACAGACAAAAAATGTCTGGAGTTCCATAAAAATTCTAGAAATTAGACAACTCAGTTGAACTGTGATATTTAGGGATCTCAAAACTATGCACGTTAACTGAAAATTCCTACCAAAATAAATTTGGGTTGAATTAGTTTCATAGCAGAAAAGAACACAGAGATTAGAGGGGGAAAATCCCATAGTATAGTAACATACATCATTTAAAAAATTAAATGCAGTTAAAAATAGCAGATTTTCTATGTTGTGTGAAAGTGTTGTAGAAGCTAGAATGGTACTACGGCAAGGTATTGTTCGAACCGTGTCCTATCAGTTTACTTTGCTAATTTATTATTAATTATTTTGACTCTACCTGGCCAATGAAAAGGAGAGTTAGATATAATCAACTTTAGGACAACGCAGAGTTTTTCCCCTGTATTTATCAACTTTTTAATATGGCTCTATGGTTTGGAAATTGCAAGAGTCTGACAAGAGTTTTATTATTTTAAATATGTATGTATAATATGTTTGCTGCTGCTACTAAAAGTTTTGTTAAGCAGGTTGGTGATGGAGGTCGATTAGTTCCTGTCCGTAGCCTCAGTGAAGCTGATAAATATCAACCTCTCGGTCTTGTTATCAAAAAGAAAAACTGCTTTCTTTCTAAAAGTTCAAAATTTATGTCAACCCCGTTCAGCCTAAAAGACATTCTTCAAGGAGAGAAAGAAATTTCTGCAGGTAAGTCCTGTAAAATCCTTCAAAGCTTATAAAACTATACATAATTTGCTCAACAATAACAATAACAAAATAGAAAGCAAAGCAGCATGGGGGGGGAGGCAAAGCTATTGTTAAGGGAAAAAAGAATTCAAATAGCTTGATATTAAGAATTTATTTTAAAAAGTGCTAGTGCATTCATTACAGGATTGGAAAGCTGAGGAAAACATGTTAACAATTTGCTTTTTGTTATTAAAACATTTACTCATTTTATTTCTGTGACCTGTTCTCTGTAATAGGATAAATATGTAATACCTGATTGCAATGTGAACTTTAGTATATTTGTGTAGACATAAGCCTAACTGAATTTGATAGGATTTACTCTGTAACAGATATCCTTAATACTGCACCATTAATATTTAATTATACAAGTTCATGCGTTTTATTAGAACTCCAATGAAATGTGACATTTCTTTTCTTACACAACTTAATTCAGCCATATTACAGTGCTGTTTCCCTGTTCTTCCTTTTATGTTAGCTGTTTAGCTTTTCAAAGTTTTAATTTGGTCTTAAAGTAAATGATAGGAAAATGCTTTTAGTTTGCCAGAAATATATTTTTCATATCTTCATAAAGAAGGAAACTATTAGAAGAGAGCACACTTCACGGTCTCCTGCAGCGACATCCTGCTGATAACATTTATTATAGAAGCAGAAGGTCCTGTAAAGCTATTCAGAGCACAGCTATATGAAGAAAGCACAGAGTCGCAGAATGCACAATGTTAAAGGGCCATATCTTCTCAAAGGCTCAGGATGGCTACTTCAAGTCCTCTCATAATTGTTCCAACAGAAGCATCAGCAGTGCATGTATTCGCATGATCAGACATCTGGCCTGTGATCTTTCAGGCACTGGATTTGGAAGGGGTTCACAAGGTATTTCTCTAGGTAGTTTAGCCCAAGCCTAAAATACACAGAAAATCTAAGGTTAACCACAGACCACACATAACTCACAATTTTGTAGAGTGTTTAATAATCCATAGGGCCCACCCAAAATTAATTACAGCTCAATGCCACTGCAATTAAAGCAAAAAGGAAGTGTATCTGAGCCGAGTCTGGATGGAATATAAAATCTTTTATGGCTGTACCTGTTGTGTCCTTCGCGAAATGGCAAGACA